CAAGGTCGGCGCGACGCAACTCACAACAGGCACCAAGCAAGACGGATATGCAATACTCCGTACACAGAAGGGAGATCAACCTGATACTGTATTGTGTAGGATACGGACCTCCGTACCCAGTACGGAGTATGCTGCAATCGTTCTCCGCTTCGGATGGGCTTCCGATCTTTCGTCCAAGATCTCGTTGGCACTAGTGCGTCGTCTCCTTCCATGGCCTCCTTGGCCTCCCCCGTATTCGAATCGAAAGACCGGCGTGCCTCTGAACAATTTCGCCTGCTCCCGCTGCTCCTCCACCCGGTAGAAGTCAGCAGGAACACAACCGACCTGCCCTTCTTGGTGCGCCGCACATTTCTCCTCGTAGAAGACCAGCCCGGCTCATTCGCCCATCCCGATGTCACTCCATCAGGGCCAGCATCACGCAAATCGGATGCTTTTCCTCCAGTTTCCAGGTGCCAGAACCGTGTTGAGGCCCCCTGGAATCTACGAGGCGCGAGGGCTACCGAACGATACCCGTTTCAGTCGGTGATGATCGTGAAACCGCAATGATGCGTGCGCAGTGGTCTGATCCCTGGACATTATCGTCGCTGCAAACACGGGCCATCGACCAGGGTGAAATCAAAAAGCCCCTGACAAGCTGCCTTCTTTGAGCAGCACCTGACAGAATGAGCCATGCACGCTAGACGCCGATCGGTTGTCACTTGATCTGTCAGCCTCACTTTGGTCTGGGAGCTGGCCATTCCAGCCATGCTTGACTCCCACTGTCGCGAGGTGTGATGCTTTGGCCGTCCGACACACCGTGCGCCTCCGTGCCGTGCTTGACACGCCGCGAAGCACTCTAGGTGGGTTGCCTGGCACAATGGGGGATGTGATGGTTGTTGTTCATCAACCCTAGTGTGGTTTTCCTGCAGCCGAGATTCTACGCCGTCCACAAATCGCCATTCTCCATGAGCCGACACGGCAAGCGCACCCTTGCCCAGCGCAAAGAATGTGGGCGACAGCTGAAAAGCCTGGTATGCACCAAGCCGTACTCGTTCACACTTCCGATCCGTAGACGGCTACACTGTGATCCCATTGCACAATTTCATGAGATCTGTGGTTACGCAGCTGATCTGACACTGACTCCGGAAGTACTGCGGCGTTCGGCGGGTTGCCAGGACGAGCGCTGCGAGGGTGCCTCGATGCCTGTGGCGCGCCGATACGGTGTGGGAGACCGGGGCGTGATTTGGGGGTGGGGGGTTGGTGATTGACGACGCGCTTAGGCCTTCCTTCCATAGGCTGTCCCCGCAAAGACACAGCCACAGGCAAAGGAACAACCCATTTTAGAAGCGCCACGCCGTCGTCCATGCATCTTCCCGCACTTGCACCTTTCTCCTGCCTGTCACTTGCCGGCTAGAAATGCAGCAAACTGGTAGTGTGGGCAGGTGGTCTCTCGAACCGCGGGTGGAAGAACGGAAACCTCCTCTACGTGAAGCTTAATGGCGCTGCAAACCTCATCTCGGATTTGGCCTCCGAATCAATAATGTGTTCAACGACGCGAGGTACGGACTAGCAGTTGGACTGCTTCGCGGACGCTTCTGATTCCAGCGTGCTGGAAATAGGGCCTTACGTCGTCAGTGCACCGAGGATTTGATTTCTATACGCATGCTGACTATTTAGAGGGAGATACACTCGGGCACACCGCACACTCCTGCCGCAGGCCGAAGCCTGTCTTGCCGAAGAGCATTCGCTTACCCAGACACCGCCTTCTAGCATTCGACAGTCGCCTGCCAATGTTTGAGTCATGGAGAGAGATTGAGGCTCCAGAATAGGCTGCGTCATCATAGCGGTGAACGGATCCCGGGGGCGTAATGATCTATTTCTCGTCCTTCCGACGGTGATTCCCTGTGTCTGCCTCGATGCAACTTTCTCGCATGTCAATAAATGCACGCAGAGCCGTCTGGGCGCGGATGAAGGCCCGCCAGCTGGACAGGTGGGTCGATGCATGCTGCGAGCAAAAGGGGTCATGACACATCAGCGGCTTCAGCCAAAGCTCTGCGATGTGGCCCGTTGAGTCTGTCTGCAAGGGGGAACGGCACAGACAGGGTAAGAACTGGCGGGACGTCGACATGGAATTTGCCTTCTCCCTGCTGTTGAGGCTCACGAAGCGAAAATCACAGGGGTACATGACGCCCAAAGCCAGTCGCACAGCGCATAGAAAGCTTCAGCTAAAGACGGCATACTTGCAGTGCTGCAAATGGCCTACTCCATACGCGACAGTACCATATGGCCCACCCAGGTCGGGTCTGAGCATGGACGAAGTAGTGGGAAGGACGAATGATCGAGGCCGGAATTTTCCACCATGCAGAGATCTGCAAACCACTGGCTCCCCTTTCTGCTCTCCTCATATCCGCACGTGCGATCCTGGCGCTCGCGTCTCGCGGTCGATCTTGGAGAGGTCTATCGAAGGGACAGATCGCTCTGTCTGAAAGGGTGTAGCCGACAGATGGCGATAGGGCCGGCCTGGCTGCTTGCCACCAGGTGCCGTCATTGTAGTTCGGGGCAGATGTTAGACAGAGGTCCTAGGATGCGTAGGCAACGAGGGACGGCTCAGGCCCACCGACAACTGCCAGGATGCCTTATCGTTCTGCGAAGGGAAAGGCCCGGGCGGCACGCTTTAGCATCAGGCCTAGAAGCTCCACGACTTCCTCTCTGGCCTGCCAGGGAAGACGGCACTGCAGGCCCCCCTCCCGCGGGATGCGGCTTCCCCGTCGACCGGTGCGAACAGGCCCCAGCGTCTGCTGCCGCACGAGAACGATGCTCGAGTCTCAACGTCGCTCATGTCCCAGGCGAGTATGCGGCCGAGGTAGGACATCGCAGGACACCGGTAGAACCCGACTGGAAGGGCGGTTGTGCACATGCCGCGGCGGTCGTGGCGTCGTGCCCAGCAGCTCGCACACGAGAGAACAGTCGAGTCGACTCGATGTTTCGATGTGCTCTTCGGGCAGGAGCATCGACTGCGGCTAGTCTTGCCTGGAGTTGCGTTAGGCGTTGCAACAATGCTTGAACATCAGCGTCGACGAAAGAACCTTGCGCCAACCAGCGTCCACGTCACTCGCTCTATGACAACTTCAAATCGGTTCCAAGTTCGGATCGTGACCAGCCTGCGTTGCCGTTGGGCCTCTGTAGACTTGTCGTGCCCTTCGAATCGCATCTGTCCCGACTATCCTGCTCTGTTGCGGAAAGGCTCGCCTCACACTTGAAGGGAATGTGACAGCCATGGCCAGGAGCTAGCCAGGGCGGGGTGAAATCCTCGCCATGGTCTACGAGATGCCCCATGAGCCCATGCACTCCCATGTCACGCCTCTGAAACCCCGGTCGCGACCATCCCACTCTCTGACAGCCCTTCTACCATCGTTTTCTTATCCAACACCACTCGTGTCTCCTCCTGCGACTCGAAAACCCACACACCCTCCCCGTCATGCATGCAGCACCCTTCACTTAGTGCGCGATGTCAAGCAGAACGGCTCGGCTTTCTGCTCTCGCCCGCCGTCTATTGGCCGCGTCCACCTGCTCGTCCTTGCTCTCCCAGCGGCTGCTTCAGTGCTCACACTCACCTCACGCTCGCCATGCGCCAGCACCGCGCCGCCGATCTGCAGCCCGGACCTCCACCGCCTATGTCGCTCAGCTGACCAGAGATCGCGCTGCAGGCTGGCGGCGTCGCTCGGAGCGCAGCTCACCCTTCCCCCGGGGTTTTACTCGTTCTGCACACCCTTGGTGCACCGGCCTGAGTCCACCCGCTGCAGACCGTGCAGGGGTGGGTGGGCGACTAGCGCATGTTGAGCGCATCAGGGAACATGGACATGACTGCGCGCAGGCCAACAGGACATTGAGCAGCAAGGCTGACTGCTTTCGTTTCGGTAAAGTGGCGAGGTGACACAGCGCAGGGCCTGCATCCTACCCTCGTCGCCCATTTGTCTCTCAATCGATTGCCTTGCAGCATGCCGGCTCGACCGCAGTGCGGATATCGAGATTTTTGCCCGACTTGGCCGTCCTTATTGCTGCATTGGTCTCCGCACCTGATACCCTGGCATGGACCACCTCACATTCTTACGAGCTCATACAGCACGCACCTCTCTCGAACGGGCAGCGCTAGCCCAGCAAATATAGACGGCCACATGGGTCCAGCTGCCAAGATGGCAGAGCGGGAATTTAGCTTTTGACCATCGACCACTGCTGGTCTCCACCGCGATCAGAGGAGACCGCCGACCCTTCGCGCAGAAAGGCAGCCAATTCCTCGTCCTCCGTCGACGGCGCGCTATTGCTCTCTATTAACTCTTCGTTGGGCCTTCTAGGACGGCTTCGTCTATTTAGTCTCCTTCGTCCCTGTTTCCTTCACGGCTGGGCTAATCGATTGCAGTATGGCTGTCGAATGACTCGCTCACTCACTCTGGGGTTGGTCCTTTCGTTGGCCCAACGTCAGCCTGGCGATATCCCATTGGCCTAGACCATCACACTGACCGACTTATCGTCGATGTTCACTGTCCTTTTGGTGAAGACGGTCGCCTGCAATAAAGCCCTTTGTTTCCCGGCTTCACCTTGGCTCCATAGCTCATCTTCACCTCATCCTTCACTTTCATCCTGTCGCAACGGCTGTGACCAGGTACATGGCCACCCTCACTCAACCATCTTTACTCCCAGGTCTAGAGATCACTCTTGGGTGATCACGAGAAGTGCCGTGGACGACTGCCTTATCATCGACCTTTGTTCGCAACTGTCACCTTCAGGGCAGTGACGCCTCGGAGGGGACGATCTAAGCATCTTTCCATCATGCTACTTCTTTGCCAGAATGCTCACAGACCAACTTGGCGAACCGCGATAAGACACAAAAGGTCCCTGTCGTTCACTAACAATCTTGCCCGTCCCATTCGAGATCTCGCCGGTAAACACCATCCTGAAGAACTAGCACCCTCGTGACCGTGACTGATCCCACTCAAGAGACCGCAATCGTTCCGGGCCCTACAATGGCAATGGCAGAGCTTCCGAACGGAACCGGCAACCACAATGGAAAACCCTCACCTAAACCTCTTGCACCCTCAAACAACCCAATCGATGATGTTGAGACCCACGGCGATCTGAGACTCAATAACTCCGCAAAGAACCACGACATGAACGGCGAATTCGAAGGTCCTCAGATCAACGGTGATCATATTCACCTGAACGGATCCGTTAGCGACCCAAATGCGAATCACCTGCATGCTAGTCTTGAGGTCGACCGCGACATTGAACCATACCATCACCCAGGTTCGGACCATGTCATCCGCTTGTCCGGGATTGAACACTGTATGCCTCGCTCCTATATTCGGATCTGCCTGGCCTACCGCCTCCCGAGACAAGAGATGCTCGGCGATGTAGTGACAAGGTTGAATCACTTTGTCAGAGAGACGGTCAACGCGAAGCCATATCTCAGTGGCTATGTGGTGGCTGTGGAAAATCCTGGCAATCGGGTTGGTGCGGTCGAGATTCGATTCTCAGACACAGACTTTCTGGAATATCCAGATGTTGGCGTTCGTCACTTGACGCGGGAAGAGGTCCCGTACACCTATGACCAGCTCTGTGAAGATGGCTTGCGCCCGAGCGTGATTAAACCCGAGATTGTGTCTGCATTGGGAGAATCCGCAGATGAAGATCGAGCACCGGCATTCCGAGTCCAAGCAAACGTGGTTGAAGGAGGCATCATCGTGTCGGTGTACTTGCACCACTGCATCTCGGACGGCAACGGTGCTGAGTGGCTCATCTCGGGCAATGTACTGAGAGACGACTTCGCCTTCAAGCGGGATTTGGACGGCGGAGACCACGACATCCCTAGTCTATCCATGAGACTCGATACCTTCGCCCGGCACAAGAGTCAGGTCCGAAGCGAGTTGTCCTACTCTTCCGCTAACCAGATCAATGATCGGCATCTGAAATACAAGACAGTGCAAGCGGCGGAGAACTCACATCATGTCATCAAGCCCATCGGGCGTGGCTGTGTCTTCGCAATACCGCTGACCAAGCTCGCCGACCTGAAGCAGCGCCTCATGACCCTTGCACGCGCCGAGCGCATGAGCCGTAGCGACGTATTGATGACCCTCATCTGGCATGGTATGACAAAAGCTCGGATCCCTTCTCTATCACAGAACCCAACAGTCACCACTTCCAAACTCAACATTCCCGTCAACATCCGGACGAGAATAAAGAACAAGCTGCCGGAATCATATTTCGGCGCTGCCGTGGACTTTGCGTCTGTGGAAGCGCCACTTTTTCATTTTGCGGACAACGACGACGCTTCTATGTGCGAGACCGCCTTGGCGATCCGTAAAGCCATCAACCAAGTGACGGAACCATACATCCGACAGTCAATTGCCCTGGCGGAAAACCCCAATCCAAAGATCGATGTCCGCGACCTGCAGGGCAGCAATATGGATCGGACAGATGGCGCCGACATGTATATTACGAGCTGGGAGAAATTGAAACTTTACGACGCCACGTTTGACATGGGTCTCGGTCGACCAGATTGGGTGCGCAAGCCGTGGAGTAGAGATCCTGGCTCCTGCATTGTTCTCCCTTTCGACGACCGCAAGGACTACCTTGAAGTCGTGATTCAAATGGCAGAAGCTGACATGGGTCGGTTGTTGGAGGATAAGGCCTTCATGGGTTATGTTGACAGATGGATAGAATGACGGGATCAAGCCAGCGAATGCATGCATACTGGCGCGCTAAAACGGGTACTGGACAACGACAGGGATTTGCTTGGTTGGGACAAGCGAAAATATCGTGGGCATCATGAGCGTGCGTCTGCGCGAAACGTCTGGGACAGCCATCATCGCTTTTCAATGGCTGGGAAAACCTTACATAATCTCCAAGCAAGCACGAGGCTGCTTGCGGTGTACCACCACCATCTTTCGGGCAACATCATGGGACAGGCACCGGTCGGGTAAAAAGGCAATGGCAGGATTAATGCGGGTAGTGAAGGTTGACGACATGAGAATCAGATCTCCTTTCCTCGGCATGTTGACCGAGGGTTCATTTTCACAAACAAAGCGTACCCAGGCTGTATTGCCCTCGGCACCTCTACTGTGGTATGTGTAAAAGGGCCTGAGTAAGGTGAGGTTGAAGTGAGTGACAGAAGAAACACATCCAGCGATTTGATCCATTTTGCGTCGAGCAATCACGTGAATACGCGTGTACACCCCGCAACAAAACGCGCTCCCTCAGGACGCGCTTTTTGGCCACTGACTGCTGCTCATTCCCTCTGCGATGCTCTGTACTGGCCTCTATTTGCAATCGCTGCTCCTCTACACGTGCTGCTTCTCCGGTGCTCTCTTCAAGTTGAGAAACAATACTCTTCAACTTAAAATCCAATCCTCCGCTCTCGCCCGCCTCATCGACTATCAACCGAGATGACTCAAGTCGAGGATAATGAAACACCTCAGGATGAATACGAGGAGATGCCTGGCGGACCTGGGGCACCTATCCCTATCTCGCAGCTAATAGTGAGCACTTACTTATGTTGACGTCGCCCATTTAGTGCCTGGCTGACCCCTTTCCAGGGTGTTGCTGGATTGAGCGAGAGAGACATCAAGCTTGTTGTTGAAAGCGGCTACCATACAGTCGAGTCCATAGCCTACACGTGAGAGTTTTTACCCCAAAGCGACCAGACCTAGGCTAACCCTGCAACAGGCCTCGGAGACAATTGGAACAGATCAAGGGTATCTCAGAGGCGAAGGCGTCCAAGCTGCTGAATGAAGGTATGCTGAAGAACTCTTGACCTTTTCCCCGTTCAGGCTGACCGTGACCTAGCAATGAAATTGGTCCCCATGGGCTTCACTACCGCGACGGAAATGCATGCCCGACGAAGCGATCTCATCTCCATCACGACCGGCTCCAAGAACCTCGACAGACTGCTCGGCGGCGGTATCGAGACCGGCTCGATCACGGAGATATTTGGAGAATTCCGCACAGGCAAGAGTCAGATTTGTCACACGATGGCTGTTACCTGTCAATTGCCGTTCGATATGGGAGGCGGGGAAGGCAAATGTCTGTACATCGACACTGAAGGCACGTTTCGACCTGTACGTCTGCTGTCAGTGGCACAACGGTACGGACTTGAAGGAGAGGAAGTCCTTGACAATGTTGCGTATGCACGAGCTTACAACTCCGAACATCAGCTACAACTACTGCAGCAGGCCTCTCAGATGATGTGTGAGACCCGGTTCTCTCTGCTCATCGTCGACTCGGCCACGTCGTTGTACCGAACAGACTACAACGGGAGAGGAGAGCTGTCCGCTCGACAATCACACATGGCCAAGTTCTTGCGGATACTTCAGAGACTGGCGGATGAATTCGGCATCGCAGTCGTCATCACAAATCAAGTGGTCGCACAGGTGGATGGTGGTCCCAGTGCCATGTTCAACCCAGACCCGAAGAAACCGATTGGCGGCAACATTATTGCTCACGCCAGTACCACCCGGCTAAGTCTGAAGAAGGGTCGTGGCGAGACTCGCATTTGCAAGATCTACGACAGCCCTTGTTTGCCGGAGAGCGACACGTTGTTCGCGATCTATGACAGTGGCATTGGCGATCCCCAGCCCAAAGATGACAAGGAGGGTTGATTTCGTGGTTGACGACTGAATACTGGTCTATGACGGGTAAATGCATAACATGTTAGCAACGGCGCAGTCGGAATCCTGCAGAGGCTGTCCCGTTTCCTTGTGAGCGTTGATGTCTGATGGCGCGAAGCATGACGGTCTACACACCATGTTGCACGAAATGGAGGGTGGAAACGTGCCAAAGGCTGGAAGGATCTTGTCGACGCTGCACGGATGTGTGCTGGTGTGGCACGAGGCCAGATTCAAGCAAGGACAAGCAGGCGGCTTGCGCAATGCATTCTTGGTAAATGAGCAATCACAAGCATTGTGGCTGATGTGCATCACGCTGGCTGGAGCAAATGGGAGACACTCCCTGCCGACAGGATGCCGGGCTCCAAGGCCCGACTTCCAGGTTTTCAGGAAGCACCCTCTCAAGGTTGTTGTCACTCCGCAATCATCGAGAGCAGTGCCCGGCGGAATCAATTGTGCCATTGAGCTTCCTGCGGACACCGGTACTCGTATTACCCAGGAAAGGCTTTGGAAGTCGGCTTAGCGGCATGTACGAAAGGGACGAGCCAGCTGAAGCGGCTGCCCCAGTGATCCGCGGCGGGTGATTGCAGGTGCCCATTCGTGCCCATTCTCCAATCCGCCCGGGGCAAAGATCCACGCTTATCCACTGTTGCTTAGGGATGACCTTGGCGTCATCATACACCGCGGGCGCCGGGACACGGACAAGATCAGCTCGTCGACTATCTTGCGACACGACGGGATTGTTTAGGGAAACAGGTAATTCTCTCCCCGGCCCGAACTTTGTCTTCAGCTGGCTGTATTCATAGTCCTCTTTTGACTCGTATTCATCGCCTCGTTACTGTTCCTGTACAGTAGACGGCACCATTCCTTTTGTTTATCTCGACACCTTTCCACGTGTATAGAGCACCACTTGCGCGTCCTTCTTGGCCTCAGTTTCGCTTCACCTTCGCGTCTGCGACAATTGGTAACTTGACTGCACCCGGTCGCGGAAGCTTCATTGATTCTCACTCGAGCAATCCGACATCAGGAATCGTGAAGGCAACGGCGCGTGGGTTGCTCAGATGGAAGGTGAGCTGTCCGGCGCAGTCTACGCACCGCCGAGCTGACGTGACTTTCAGGACAAGTCGACGGCAATGTCGAGGGTCGAGAACGTCATGTCCAGGTCACCGAGTCTCAAGAGGGCTATGGGTCTGGCCCTGATGTCGCCAACTCGAGTAATGCGATCGAAGTGCTGTGCGGTCCGCTCCTCAACTATCAGCGCATGAGCGAGGAAGGTCCCTCGGCTGTAACCTGGCACGGCTCCGTCCTACTCGTGACGAAACCGAACTCCAAGATTCCCACCCTCGAGCTGAAGTTGGCCGGCCCTTGGGACCCTAGCGCCCGGGTCCGGAGTTTGCAGTCGCAGCTCGTGCAAGGGCTGAAGCTCTACTCGGATCCGGACAAGACGTTTTGGCGGTTCACGCTCCGAGTTCCTTTGGTCGAGGCAGAGGCCAAATGGGAGTACTCAATACCAGACATGCACTTTCTCTCCGAAGTCAGCAAGGAGCCTTCGCGGCAGTTTGTTGTCCCCTCGGCGACCGAGTCGATGCGCATCATGTTCCACTCTTGCAACGGATTCTCTGTCGGCACAGACGAAGATTTCTGGTCAGGTCAGCGCTGCCCCAACCCCGTGGAGATAACAGGCAGAAGAAATTGACGTGTAGACTACCAGGTCCCGTGCTCTGGAACGACGTTCTGCGAACCCATCAGCAACGGCCGTTCCATGTCATGATCGGCGGAGGTGACCAGATCTACAACGATTCGATCCGAGTCAAGGGCCCGCTGAAGGAATGGACGGCCATTGCCAATCCCAAAAAGAGGAAGGAATATCCGTTCGGGGAAGACATGCGCAACCGATGCGACCAGTATTACTTTGATAACTATGCCCGGTGGTACTCGACCGAACCGTTTGCCTCCGCGAATTCCCAGATCCCGCAGATCAATATCTGGGACGATCACGACATCATCGACGGATTTGGCTCATATACGGACCACTTTATGCGATGCGCCGTCTTCCGTGGCCTGGGTGGCGTGAGCTTCAAGTACTACTGCTTGTTTCAACATCATACAGCCCCTCCCGTATCGACCTTCACCACGGACGCGCCCAAGACGATGAGTGCCGATGCCAATGGTACCGCGGGCGCCGACCCCCGCCAGTTGAAAAACACGTATGTGTACAAGACACCGGCGGATGACCCCAGCTGGATCGTCGGGAAACGCCCTGGTCCGTACGTCGAAGAAAAGTCAAGAAACCTGTACATGCGTCTTGGTCGCCGTATCGCGTTCTGTGGCATCGACGCGAGAACCGAGCGGACCCGGAAACAGGTCAACTACCCAGACACGTACGACTTGATCTTCGGAAGACTGGAGAAGGAATTTACGGCTGCGCGAGGCGAAATCAAGCATTTGATTCTCCTGCTCGGCGTGCCTATCGCGTACCCTCGCCTGGCCTGGCTGGAGAATATCCTGTCCTCCCCACTGATCGGCCCTATTCGCTTGCTCAACAAGAGGTTCGGGCTCGCCGGAGGCTTCTTCAACTCGTTCGACGGCTCAGTCGATCTGCTAGACGATCTGGACGACCATTACACCGCACGCCACCACAAGACCGAGCGCCGCGAACTGATCCTCCGATTACAGAAGCTGGCAGCCGACTTTTCCGTCCGCATCACCATCTTGGGCGGCGACGTGCATCTTGCAGCCCTCGGTCGATTCTTCTCCGCCCCATCGACTCACATGGATCCCATGCACGACCCACGGTACATGGCCAACATCATCTCGAGTGCCATCACCAACAAACCGCCTCCGAAAGCGGTCGCGAACCTACTGGCGCGAAGAAACAAGGTCCACCACTTGAGGGACGGCAATACTGACGAGACGATGCTCAAGATGTTCAACAAACAGCCCGGTGGAATGGTGAAGGGCGCCGACTGGAATCAATGCACCATGCCCAGCCGCAACTACGCATGCATCACCGAGATCCCGGACGATGGCACGACCGAATCGACGCAACCGATGAACGGCCAAGTGCGCGGCGACGTACAGTCAGTGTCGGATGTGGCCAATTCGACGGGCAAGACCGGCAAAGCACGTCCTCATCAAGGCAAAGACGCGCCAGATGGACGTGGGCCTCTGCACGTCGGCGAGGAAGGCGCGGGCACAGAACACCCCGCCGCGGATGGTATCAGCGTTGTGGCCGCGGCGCCTCCGTTAAAGGGCGGCTTGAACGTCTCTATCAAGGTGGAGATCGACAACCAAAATCGAGAAGGCAGGACGGAGGGGTACGGCATGAGCAGTAAGTGTTTGCCTCGTTTCGGTGTCGAAACGTGCAGTCAAGAGTTCATCCTCGCTAACGGTTGGTGCCCTCTAATAGTCCCCAAGCTCACAATCAGACCGAAATCCCATACTGGACCGCAGCCCCACGGGACGAACGATCACGGACACGCTCACGCAGCCGCAGCATCAGTGACGGGTGGTACGTCTGGTGGATCTGCGGCGTAGTCCCGCCTTATGATGATGGCAATATTCGCGACGGAGTCCACGTCCACGTCCGCGTCCGAGTCAAATTCCGGGCGAGGTAGGACTCGAAACAGCTTGAAGACATGGAATCCCGAGTCCGCTTTGAATCGTGGGCCTGACCCTGAGTGCGATGCGGACTCGGGCTTGGACTACGAGCATGAGCTTGACTTTGACACTGACCTTGTACTTGAGTCGGCAAGTGAATCGGGGAAGGTGAAGAGAGTATCCTTGAGGACTACTCGACTCGGGAAACCACGCTATTGTCAGGCACCCTTTGTGGCGAGTATCCCTCTCGAAGTGATGGGAGGAGACGACGAGAATGGTGCGGAAGGATGTGCCGGTCCCAAGGTAGAGGAGGAGAAGGAGAAGGACTGACTGGCTCGTTCGCTCCTGGTGCGCCCTTGAATGAGCCTCCACACAGGAGTAGACCCAGACAGAGACCAGTTGACTTGATCGCCCGTGTGTTAGTAGGTACCTTATCAATACTGTAATCAACCGAATCGAACACTAATTTCCTTTTGAACTTGAAGTTGAACTGGAGACTTGGACTTGTGACCGACCTTCATCTTGCGACCGGTCTTCGACTTGCAACGAGGATGGATGCATGGATAAGTCAAGCTACAGCTAGGCAGGTAGGTACCAGGTACGGTTACGGGTGCAATTAGATGGCTGCAAACAGCGATATGGTACCAGTAAGGTACGTGCCTGTACGTACTTGGGTTGATTGCCAGGCTAATTATGTAGAACTGGGTAACTGTACGGAGTACGGGCTACGTAGTCACTATATACTGCCTAGGTACCTAGGAGGTAGGCACTTACTGTACGGAGTGCGTGGCATGTTTACTTACTTACTGAGTGACTGCAGTAACAGCAGCAACAGCAACAGCAACAGCGACAGTGGCAGGGCTACGAGAGAGTAATTAAATACAACGGCGTACTCCCTCCCAACTCCGTACAGGGGATTTGATTTTGATAATTAGATAGAGATACGTACATAGTGAAGACCCCTAGGTATAGGGAGTCGTCATGTACATGGACCAATTATGACCGTGACTCTGTACCACTGATACTACGAGGACCTCGACTCTACACTTCATGGAGAAGCGAGCGAATGGGATGTACTCATAGTAGTTACTCCGTAGTCTGTACGCGTTTGTATTCCGGGGCCATAACTCAACGATGTCGAGTCAGACTAGGTATCTAGCTAGGTAGGTAGGTAGGTGGGTAGGTAGGTAGCATACGTACGTACGTACAACACTTAAATGACGAGCTGGTAGTCGTAAACCTGTGCTCCGTCTGAATCTTGCGTTTATGCGCAGTCTCAGTCTCAGCGTCTAGCCCTACCCCTATCCCCGTCCCTCTCCCTGGCGAGATTTGATCCTCGTCACGTAGCCTGCACTGTCTCTCTACCGCTTCCACCACTCTTGGTGATCGTAGTCCGCCTCTATGAACCACGCACTGCCTCCCGCCGCTCAAGAAACCGTGATGCTGGACGATCCACTGCTCTGGTATCCCTCTGTGGCAACAATCTGGTAATCAAACGCGCCGAGATTCATCCCAAGCTTCTTCCACGCATTGAAATGATTGGCAGTGGTGACAGTGCCGCCGACGCGCTTGCCCGTGCGGATGGACCAATACTGCGTGAAGGTCGCGGTTCCCTGGATGGACGCTGGGGTTGTCGAGTGGAATTAGTGTTCGCCCCTTTGCTATCTTCAGTGGACAGCACTTACGCGCATTCACACGCTGAGCGGTGTAAATATTATATGTGCCGCCATCGCTCTGAACTTGGCCCTTGTAGGTCAGGCCGCTGCTGGCCGGGTTGTAGGTGCCGTACGATTCGAGGATGTAATACTCGATCAAGGGGCCGGTGGTCCAGCCATAGACTGCCAGGTAAGCATTCCCACTTGGACTGAAGGTGCCGGAGTAGTTGATGGTTCTGCGTGGGGCGATTAATTAGCGATGCTGCCTGAGGATCTGACACAGGGGCAGAGCGCACAGCGAGCAAGACTCACCTGGCAGAACTGGGATTCCAGCCTTTCCCTGCGACAAAGTTGCCAACGTTGCTCCATTGCGTCGTGTATGAGCCGCCGGCACCATTGTTGTACGTCACGCTACCACCACCGTCGGTCCAGAACGAGTAGAAGTACCCGTTGTTCGTCCCGGTGCCTGGAGAGGTGCGCTTGTCAAGCTCCTGGGTTGGGGCAAAGCTATCTCTCTCTGTAAGCTCACCAGCCGGAGCGCTGAAGACTCCAACGGCGGCAGTCAGGACGAGGAAGAGTGAAGAGAAGGAGACCATATTGGAAGTCGTCGGTAGTGATTGATCTGATGTGAGCACTGACTTCCCGGATGGAGGGTCCTTTTTATGCCGTCTTGCTGGTCTTTCACCCTCCATCTTCTGCACCGGTAAAATTTGAACTCGCCCCTCATTCTGACCGTGGTCGTCCGGTAAAATGAAGCATGACGACCTGATCAAGGGGAACATCAGGTAGGACATGGGAGGGCGGCGATAGCAAGGTGTGCCCTGTCCAAGAGGGCTAGTCTGCCGCAACATGTAGTTCAAAAAGGGTCCGCACGAATGGAAGTCAAGAGTCCGGAAGGACCATTTGGCATTCCTTGCGATGGCAAATATCCCCCGTACCGCCACGATCCCTGCCACGCCCGTTCAGTCAGCTCACGCTGCGTTTCCAACACCTATTTCCATCCAAACTGGTCAAGTTGCTGCCAATGGGCTCGACCATTTAGCCGTTTCGTCGGAATTGCTTCTTGGCATATTGTAGTTCGTGACTGAAGTCCACTTTTGTCGAAGTGTTTCAGACCCTGACCATCCTCGTCACGATGTCTGGCGTAGCTTCATCCCGGCAATTTTCTTCACATGACTCGAATGGTGCGAGGTGAAGTCTAAGGGACTGTAGACCATTGATGTCATTGACCTTGACAGTAAGTTTCGGGCGAAAGTACTGTGCGACTCCTGATGTGATCGGTTAAGAACCTTGAGCGGTGGCTTGTCTCTCCATCGTGAAGAAAGACGACCCGGTAGACTTATTCCGTCTTGAGGGGAGCGGTTCTCGTCTGCAGAAGACAGTCTTGATGACACCACCCATGGGCCCGGATTCACACGATCTTCGCGAACCTCTTGACGAAGGCGTACGTGAGAATATTCTCCGCTCCGCTGCATGCACCTGGTTCGGGCCGGCCTGGCATCAGCGCATCGCCAACAATGTTATTAGGCTAAATGTGCACAGATTTGCGGAGCCCCGCGATCTGCTGTCGTGGCGCGATCTGATCACAAGGCAGTCCCGTAGAAGGAAGGTACCTGTTTGCTTCTTCTAGCGTTCATGTCGCAGACCACAGATAGTTCCAAGACGCAGGCAATGTATGCGATGAGTGTGGCGGCCGGATAAATTGGGTTGTGTACCGATTGACGCACACCACAATAGTACCCTTGACATCAGCTGGCCCTGCATCGATCTGGAGAACAGGGGATGCTGGGGGTTCTTTACCTCTTTTCGACGTTGAAAGCCGACGTGAGATCCTCCTCGTTAGCCCCTAACGCGATGGACATATCGGCTCGTTGGATGGTCCTGCGTTGGGTTGATGTGGTGTGCATCACGCTTCCGATCTGACATTGAAGCAGTCAAGATGTCGCCAATTGCTATCATACCGCATTTGAGATTGAGCTTCGTGGAGGGAGCATGGCCCGGGCGCAAATAAAATCAAACTGTTTCATGGCAGGGAAGATCAGGAACCATACCCTGGGCTGCCCAATCAGCTGCCCACATTGGCCTTGGAACCGGCCTGAAAGGTAGCTGCATGTTGATGGAATGTTCAGTCCAATGAGCATTGTATGCCTGACAGCCATGAGCAGCGCCATGAAGATTCGGCAAAAGCTTGACTCTTTCTGGTATAGAAGTCGACAGTCCCACTTGCTCTTTGTACTCGTACTGCTTCAGTTGAGTTCGACGGTCCGTTCGGTCGTAAGAAGAATTGCTGAGGCGTGACAGCCTGGTAGACTTTCCGCAGTAGATGGCTACGAGGCCTGTTGCTTTCAGCTTCTCATATGGATTTAGGCTCTTTACGAGCTGCTCGAAATCTCTCCAGTCATGGTGGCCGTATCAGCTGTGAGAAATGAGATAAAGGGATCAACAGACCTTAAGCGAATGGCGAAAGAAGCCACTTCGTCACAGACAATGACTTCCACCATACCGCAGACGTTGCTTCCAAGATGCAGTGGACTTTTGCTGTAGCCGCCTTTTTGGCAGTCTCTCTCCTGCCGTTGGAAATCCAATCCAGAGACGCCAACCGTGCCCGAATATCCACGTCTTGGGTGCTCGAGGGACGACTGCTCCGGCTGGTTATAGATCAGCAAAGACCTTCGGCAATATGATCTTGAACGCCTATCCGGGCTCGACAGCTGAAGTCATTGACTATCCGGCCGCAGGTAGCATCGACGCGGCGTATGTCTCTTCAGTGCAACAAGGAACACAGAACATTGCAAATCAGAACAACAACTTCAACAAGCAATGCCCGAACACCAAATTGGTTGTCGTCGGATACTTCCAGGTCAGCCTCTGTCATAGCACCAGTCCGCATGCGCCATAACTTACCTCTTACAGGCAGCGAAAATTGGGGACAATGCCTTGTGTAGAGGTGGCGATCCTGATCACGGCATCACGTACACGAAACCTTTGATCTCCTCTGCGGCCCGCAATCAGATCGAAGCCGTCATCTGGGCAAGGAATCCCAGAAACTCGCTCGCCGAAACATTCCAATATGGCAGTTGCACTGCAGGAGGGGTGAGTTCGTCCCACGTTCGACTGCTGGTCCTGAGACTGATTATCCTCTGCGCGCAGTTTGATGCTCGTCCGGCTGGATCCTCCTGCCCGACATATCAGTCTCGCAACCGCTCGTACTGCGACGCCTCTGATCCATACTGCTGCAACGGCAACAATGCACTCGCTCATCAAGGACACGGGTCAGAGTATAGCCAGAACGCCTTAGCATTCGTTCAGAGCAAGCTAGGATAGGAGGGTTGCTAGCGCCACGGGCTGCAGAACAAAGACAGGGGCATGGACAAGCAAAGAACCGGTTGTTTTGCAAATGTATTTGATCCATCGGTGATGACCTCGCGGGGTAATAGCCGGAAAACTCTTCCCTAGAGGATGGACTTCATGCATAGAAGACTGCCGCCTTGTCGGATGACTCGGGGAGTGATAGAGGAGCTCGGTACTGCAGCAGTTGGCGCCGTAGACGGCATTCTTTCCGCCATTGTTGCTGTATTCATGAGGGCGGACGAACATTTGGCAGGCGGATAATGCAAACCTCAGCTCTCATACGTTCCGCTCAAAATAGCTTTGCACCATGCCCTCAATCGTAGGCTCATACTCGACCAACTTGACATCACCAGACTGTTCATTCAACACCGTATTGGCCTGCACAAACACCTTCCTTGGCGTCTTCTTCTTCAAAACGATAGGTCTTGCTTTCTCTGCCCACCATTGATCCACGCCAGTAATGTCGTCGTACATCTTCTTGCCTGCCTCGAAATCGGCAGTTGCCTTGTAGATGTGTAACTTTTGCAGATAGGCCTCGACTGCCGGTCGTCCATGTGAGATGATCTTACTGCGGTCCAGGTAGATTTCCAAGTCTTCTGGATTATTCGCGTCACCATTGAGAGCCTTGATCTCGCAGAAGCCGCCGCCAGCGTCCAAAAATGTGCGCAGAATGGAGAAGCGAGCCTGCATATGAGCTTGACCCCATTTTCTAGACTTAGGATCCCAGTATTCGAGAGCCGCTACGCCAGCTCGCGCCATTTGCAGATAAGACACATAAAGGACGTCGCCAGCCTCATTGTCGATGTCTTCTCTGCCATTGCCGAAGCCAAAAATTTGCAGAATTTCAAAGTCACAAGCGAGAGCCATCGCAACACATTCAGCGCGACACTCCTCGTACGAAGAGGCAATGGGTCCGAAGACGCTCGACCAGGTTTGGCCAGGCTTGTAATACGAAGTGACCGGTTTCTTCGTAATTGGGCTGACGGGAGGATTCTTGATGTCGAAATTATACTCCCCTGGTGCAGTTTCCTGGAGCAGCTTGCCACAGCCATGACCGAGGAGTTCATGAATGCCCACTTGGACCTCGAAAGCAGGATCGCGGTACTTGCGGTACAGCTCGTCGTCCTGTTGGCGGATGAAGGGAATAGGCTCATTGGGAGCTTTGGCGCTGAGAACGTTGCCTAAGCTCACATTCTTGAAGCCTTCGTTCTGTCTGATGAAGTCGTAGTTCGGAATGTTGATGCCCGCGGGGATGCCGCTGCCAGCGAAGCTCAAGACTTCCAACGAAGTAAAGTCCGGGCTCAGGAATTTGTCCTTTTCGAAGTCTTTGGACCAAGGCAGTTTCGGGATCATGCTCGGAGCGGCGTCGACAAGCTTGCCGAATGCGCGAGTCCGCTCTTGGTTGACCATAGCCACAAAGCCTTCCCATTCGCCGCGGACACCGTGAGGGTCCCGATAAGTCTCCACAAAGCCTATGTCTGTTTCGACCATGGGCTTCTTGTCCTTGATCCAGTACCGCTGAGATTCGACGAATGCCTGGATGCTGCCTGTACTGAAGGTCTTCGCATACTCGTCCATCATCTTCTCTTCGATTTCATTAGCGGCTTCTTTCTTTGCCTTCTTGAACTCAAGGGCAATCTTGGCCATCTCCTCTTGGTAATCACCGTAGGCTAGGCGCAGCTTCTTTCCAGCGAGTGGGCCTGTCAGGTCGATCGAGGTGACATCACCGAGGTCCCGCTCTGAAGCTGGGGGGTTGGAGATTCCAGAAGCTATGAGCAGTTCAAAGTCACCCGAGTCGAGCTTTCGCAACCTGGTGTTCTCGATCAACAATTTCTTCTCTTCTAGCACGTCTCCCACAATGGAAATCTCCTCTTTCGTGATAGTCGGCGAGTCTGGATAGTAGTTCGTCATATGGCCTGCTTCAGGGTATCCCAGATGCATGAGAGCGACATCTTTGGTCTCGTATATGCCTCCCCCAGTTTTGGTCGCCTGCTCATATAGCTTCCGTGTTTCTTCATTCACACCACTGAGCTTTTTCAGCTCTTCCGGCGATATTCTAGGTATGAATTTTGAGTCACCGAAGCCTTTGTAATTTCCCGTATTGCCCAGGAATTGTGCAGCATACTCGAGCCACAAGGCGATATCTGAGGAAGAGACCGATGTATCGGCAGAGAGTTTGCTGTAGTCACCACCGCAGGCACGATGGAACGCTAGAATGAGATCATAAATGACGGGAGATTCAGGCGATACTTGGGCCAATGTTACCCTCGTGCCATGGAAAGATGCTCGGCTCAGATGGTGGGCGTAGCGCTTCTCTTTGGGTGAAAGGGCGGCGAAGTGAGGGGCAATCTCCAGTCGAACGACCGTCGGAGGGTTGTCTGCCAGATAGTGAGATCGAAGTGAGGGATCCATATTGCTATCCGTGGACACTCTGGAGAATTGTGGAACCAGTTGTGCCAGACGGCGAACCAATCTCTGGAGAGGGGATATTGTTGTCACTGGAGGCCGCATGCAGATGTGGTTCAATGCAGCCTCAAGTCCGCAACGAGGCTGGATTCGAGGACAAGGCTGAGCACAAGTTGAAACACGCCAAACCTGCCAAGGTCCTTATTAGTAAGCATGGGCTCTTATTCCACCATTACTTATGCTTTACCCAACACGCCCAATAAGGGGCGACATCTCTTTGTCTACAAATGGTGCCCTTGTGTTTATATCAGCCCAGAGCCACGCCCATCACGTCAGCGTCGTTCCCTCATCATCTTTGCAAGATTCTCAAATGCCTCTCGCCGCTTGTCGACGATGTCGTGAAAAACGTGTGCTGGCCCAACGGATCCGATGACGATCTGATCGCTGCCAGAGAGGAGACCGTCGAAGGCAGCGTCGCAGAACTTGTCAACCGGCATGCCAAGCTGGCGTCCCTGATCTGCACCCATGTAATCATGCAATTCGGCTTCCAATTGTCAGCCACTTCCCTTGGAACCATGTGTACAAAGCACTTACTCTGGACGGGAGGCGGCGACAACTCGATGACTTGGACCGACGAATTCCTCAATTGCTCGCGTAGGCAAAGAACAAAGACATTCAGGGCTGCTTTTGAAGCCGAATACGCAGGTAACAAGGCTGCAGGTACAATTGCCAGGTTCGATCCAGTGCTGGTTCCGTCAGTAGCTGCTGATTTCTCGTGAGAAGGGGAAGGCTCACAAAATGAAACTCGTCTCGGTCTCCTTGCCCCGTAGAAACGGTAGAAATTTCATAGTCAAATCGACAAAGGACGAGAAATTGACTTCAACCTCGGAGTGAAACGCGGCAAGGTCGACCTTCTCTGGCTTTGCTAGGTCGATGGGACTCTGGACACCTGCATTCAAGAAGACACAATCCAGGTCCGGGTAACTGTTTGTGACATTCTGCACGAATTGGTCGATATTGCACCTTTCGCTGATGTCAAATTGAATAGCGCTGGCTTTGTCCTTGCCATGCTTCTCAACAAATGCGTCGAGTCGTTCCTGTCGGCGGCCAACAGCGATGACCTTGGCCCCTTCGCGGATCAAGCGATCTCCAATTGCAGCGCCAATCCCAGCGGTGGCCCCGACAAGGAGCACTCTTTTACAGGCGAACGTCATGGTGGTGAGACTTCCAGTCTGGTCACGGGAGGACTGAAGAGAAGGCGCGGGGCTGAACAAACTCGCTGAACTATTGGGAGAGAGGTCTGAGCCGAGCCTGGTATGAAGCCGTCTGTGGGAGTGTACTTATACGCCAGCTGGGCCATGATGTTGTCCATCGGGTAAACATAATGCGAAAGCCCAGAAGGTCCACATGCCGGCCAGATAAACTGGAACTCCATATTTCTCCCCACCGCGTGCTGCGACCAGGAGATAGCGAGCCGGACCGGCCAAACCAGCCATTACCACATCCGCGTCGCCTGGGTGTGACACGACGGGTTCACGAGTTGGACTGGCCCGTAGCCAGCAGTGGGCATGGGGAAGACGAGCACAAGACATGCTGACACATCCACTCCGTACTTCCTCAACCGCCTCGTGTCCTCGTATCCCGATGACGTCGACGGAACACTTACCGGATGTGGCATGGTCGGATGCGGAGATAGATTCGCCGAAAGCCGGTTCAGCCCGGCCGGAGAGGATGCCAGACGCAGGAAGAATCTCGTGTCTGTCCCGTTGTAACTCATACGCTGGGCAACAAAACCTTCTTCACACATCCTTCGAGCTCCCCAGTCTTGGCTGTTCATGTCTCGTTCTCTGGCCTATTGTGGCGTAGAGTCATGTCCAGGTCGAGACCTCCCTCCAACCTCTCTGTCATTGCTTGGAGTCCTAGTCCCCTCTGCAGGGCCAGAAGCCGGTCCCAATGGTCTACAATGGCAAGCCATCCAAAGCTTGCGTCCATTGCAGGCGGCGGAAACTCCGGGTATAGGTCCACATCCCTGACGCACCTGATGCGGTTTCGCTAACGACATTTCAGTGCGATCTTCGAAAAGAAGCATGTGGTCAATGCGTGAGAGCTGGTCTTACTTGTACTGGCTACCGGGACCCGGGCCAGTTGAGGATCCAGGATGAGAGCGAATCGACCAGACAAAGGGCGTTGGGATTGAAATCGCGATCAATCACGTCTCCAATACATGTGCCACTGGAGGAAATGGCGCGGGCAGCATTCTTCTCCCATTATGTCCACGGATTCTCCACAACGTATGATGTGCTGGAACTCATTAGTCGGCAGTCGGGCCTGGACAAGCACCTAGCGGCGAGTGTGGATGCCGTCAGCCTAGCTTTCTTCACCTTCCAGTACGACGCCGGATCAGCTCTGAAGCCAGCTCGGGAGAAGTACTTGTCTGCTCTTCCGCTCGTTAAAGCCGCCCTTGGCGCTCCCGAGTTCCTGGCCAGCAATTCGACCTTGTTGGCAGTGCTCCTTCTTGACCTGTTCGAGAAGATCACCAACCGCAGTCCCATCTCATCTGAGTCATGGATGAGTCATGTCAGGGGTGCTTTGGTGCTTGCCAGGCTAAGAGACCCTGCGCAGCTGAACACATACATCGGTCTTCGGCTCTCCGTTCGACTGTTTACCAACATGCTCATCAGCTGTGTCGCTGCAAATGCTCCGATCCCACCAGCGTTGATCAAGCTCCGCACCGAGTTACAAGCACACATGCACCGGGATGATCCCAAATGGCGGGTTTCTGGTCTCGTGATGAAGTACGCGAATTTTCGCGGGGCACTTCAAGGTGGGCTCTTGTCGCATGCTGAAATTTTGAAGAGGGCAAAGAAGTTAGATGGAGAGTTCAGCTCACTTGCCCGAGACCTCCCGCCGTGTTGGATTTCGCAAAGAGTGGCTCTTCGCAAACCGTCATCCGCAGTTCTGGAGCAATACTACGATGTCTACCCGGATTATTTTACGGCACAAACGTGCAACGTCATCCGAATGATGCGGATATTGCTGAACGATCTGATTCGACACACTTACTTGAAGACCGTCGCAGCTTCAGGATATCCCGACCCTCAGGGCCTCAACGTTGGTTTCGCCTCGCATATTATCGACTCCATGGCGAAGGAAATTTGTGCGGCCGGACCCCAGTTTTCTGGCATCACTGAAGCTCACAACGGACCCAGCGACGCGTCCCCAAGCCGGAGAATGCATTGCTATACACTTCTATTTCCATTTTACGTGGCTGCACTTTCTGCGAGTCCTAAGACCGGAGTCCGAGACTGGGTCATTCGGCGGTTGAGAGCGATGGCTACCGATCTAGGCATAAAGAATGCTGTGAGCGTGGCTGAAATGCTAGAAAGGCGGGAGGGCACCAGCCATTGGTCTGTCTATGCTATCCTGGGCAGCTATGCGTTCGCGGCGTGAGTCTTACGGTCCGCTCTCCATCGGTTGGCCAAGCATTACAGACCAATACATATCAACGACCCGCGGTTGCCACGCAGAAAACATCCCTGGACATGGGCGTCACAGGTTTCGAACCTCGCTCTGTCGAGTCCTGGTTTTCACTGCGAGCAGCTGCCGTTCCGCTACCACGTGCGCAGCTTCGTCTACTCGATCCCGCCTTTCATGGACCAGAACAGTCACGGCAAGCAGAGGAGCAAGCCGCCGAGTCAAAAACTAACCATGACAATATCACAGAGAGCACAAGGCGCTGAAAGATGTCGACGACAGCTTGAACATAGAGGATTCTGAATTGAAAGGGGTGAAGGAATGCAGGAAAATGTCTTGACCGCCCCAAGCTCTTGAGGAATATCCTGACCGATATTGATGGGGGTTCATTAGGGGCTTTTGCATGAAGTTCAGACAATTAGGAATCGAGCACGACACCTCGGAAATCTCCAGACTCACGCGCAAAAGCAAACGAGCCACTCACGGTTCAAGTCAATGAGGCAGATACGGACAAATTGAATACCGATTCCACTGCTCTCGGATACAATCTTCCGACCTTGGCAAGACCTGTCCCTGAAGTCTACCCATACGGAACCACATGTCAGAGTGGGAGTGGTCATTGAGGCTGATCAGGTTGTATCTCGAAGAAGGCGTCGTATACATCGGCAGAGCGGCTTCTTGTGACGCTGCGGACGAGTGGCTTACCTACTATAGGACACGTTCCTTCACCCTGAACACCCTATATATAGCAATCTTACTCTGTTTTACGGCCACGCCAGCGTGACCTTGCATGCGTGTTGTTTGATTCATGCCGTTTGTGGAGGACAAGACTATAGGAACGATGGACGTCGCTGCCGCCACCGGCTACTAACGATTCTTCGCCTCGACCGCGGTTGCCAAGTACATGAAAGGGCTGTCGAGGCTTGACTTGGAATCCCAGGAGAGCAATCTTTACCTGGATCGGTCCGAAGCAGGCCCCGCTGCTGGCCCGTCCCGGATATCGGCTACCAGGAAGTTGGCGACAGGTCCGGTTGAGTTGAATACTGGGCTATCTGGCAAGCGATGACGGAGAAATATGACATATGCGGACGCGTTGAATGAGACGCGGGCGACTGAATGGGACGATGCGGCCGCAAACGTGGACCCAATAGCAGCGGGAAATAGATTGACTGGACGGGAGCATGGGCGATAAAAGCAGTCATCAGCAGCGGTATCGATCATGGTGATGGTGATCATCAGCCCGATATTAGTCCACAAATGATTTATGAGCAACACTACTATATACTGTGTACTGTACGGGTACTTCTTGTATGTACCTCGAATGATCCAGCCAAGTATTTCAAGCTAAGAGGGTGGGTGAGGCGGAGTGGCTTGGGCTTGTGGCGCCGGTCGGAGAAATGTTCTTCCCTAAGTGGGGTTGGTGGGGCTGAATTAAGCGCAGCCGTTACTCATCAATTCCTTCGCACCACACCATACCTAATGATCTGTATTCTTACTCTTCTTGGTGACTTGACCTTCAGTTGTTTGACCATGGATGCGGCCGCCGCTCCCTCCTTGACGCCCCATGCCGCTTTCCGCCTATCGCTGTCGGCATTGCCTTCACCTGTCGCAGACCTGCATGCTCCAGGCTACGAGTAGACTCGTCGTGTCACCTTTTCATCTTTGTCCCCCTGCACGCTGCAATGCTCCTCCCACCCTCCCACCCTCCGATCGTCGCGCCCAGCTTTCAGCCGCAAGCCACACGTGCTCTGTCAGCTCATTTCGGGCCCCCAGCAGAGCGAGACCCCAATTTCCAGTGGTCTGGAACTGGCCCCAACGACGAGCCGAGCATCACGTCTCGTCGCTTGCCTCACGACACAGTAACTAGAGCTGCAGCTTGGTTATTTATGGTTACGGCAGGATGAGCACCCTGGATGGTCTCGTTTCGATCTCTGCTTCGTTTGACGCCGGGCAACCCAGGGCGTTGCTGAGCTCTCCCGTCTGACATGCCCTCTCTTGCTTCGTGCCATGGCTCCAATCTTGCCAGAAGATCATGCTTCCTTATGACACTCGTTTCCTACGGTTAGAGCACCGGGCAGATACTCCTTCTTGACGGTTGCGACTGCCGCTCAAAGCTCGCCATGATGCAGAGCTCTCGCTATGCTCGGCTGAATCCTTTCGGGACTTCTCAGCCGACTGCGAGCCCCATTGTTGAAGAACCTCTGCACTTTTCGAATCTTATTCCGGACTCTTCATACAACCCAGCGCCGTCTTCTCATGTTAGCGACGAGAGTTTGAACAATATATCCAAGAAACAGCGGCTCAAAGTCCAGAACCGTTCAATTTCAGGCGGCGATGGCCTCCCCTATACGGGGTTTGACCCAAACGCCGACTTGAGGTCTCCCAGTACGTCTACGTGCGCTGACTCTACGCTGGCGTATACCTAAATTTTCAGCAGAACGCCGTCCGACAAGCAGCTCGTTGTACAGGGCCGCAGCATCGATCCGAGAGTTCGCCGTCTCACACTTCACGGTGCCTTCCGTTGCGGCGCCCTGGGAACACGAACTATCTGAAAAGCATGGCGCAAGCCTACCGCCCTCTGACAGTGTCCGGTACTTCGATCATCGGCGCCAGCGACGGAGATTGTTCATCAACAGTACGTTTCAATGGTTTGTCACGGCGTTCATATGTGCTGCCCTGGCCAGTTCCTTGTACGGCTTTTCCACAGTGGTTAGTGGCCTGAGCACGACGCGCAAATATGTCTTCAACGCATTGGTCACCGGCTTGTCTTTGTGTTTGGGTCTGAACCTTGCTTCCTCGTTGAGGGGCTATGCGCAAATGATGCGATGGAGGTTCCTCGCCTCGGGATACCGCACGATTCAGGACTTCGAGCTCATCATGAACTGCGACAGTCAGTCAAAAGTCTTCCGCTTGATCTGGGGCGGGCGGACTCGTGGGAGGTGGTTGCCGAACACAACTCAGATCCTTGCCCTCGTTTGGCTCCTGATCAATATCGCACTGCAAGTCTTCACCGCTCTGCTAGGTCTGACATATTCCACCGATGTCAGTTCGGACTACGTCTTTCTGACCTATGGAAACGTGAGCGTCGTCAATCTCTCTTACATTGGCAATGCCGAGACGACTGCGATGTACGCTGGCGACTATACCAGTCTCGAAGCGTCGCTCGCAGAGCTCGCAGTGGCCAATGAATTTGGTGTCACCGGACAAGACTTTTCCGTTTGGACCACCCCGTTTGACGAATACGTCGGTTACGATCAGTCTGTCTACACAGATGGGGAAATTTTCTGGTACCGGTTTATCGATCGCTCTCCCCTGGCCTATTCCCTGGCTACTAACACATGGCGGACTGTAAATGCCACAGCTTCATGCGAACCCCACACTGTCACCTTCGGAGGCTACGCTGGGTTCAACACCGATAACAGCTCCCTGCTGTGGGACGTTACGTGGGTGGATTCCAACGGCGTGGAAAACACATGGACCATCCCCGACCAATCAACGGGTGGAACCACGTGGATGAGCAATATTACGAGTGATTGCGGGCCACGGTGTGCTCAAATATACGCCCTCCAGGTCGCCGACAATATCACCACTGACGTCCCCACGCCGCGCTTCTGGAGCTGCATCTCGAATGTCTCTACCGTGGACGGAATCGACTGGTATCCCGACCTATATCCGGACCCTGCCTGGTATCAAATCCCGGATGAGCAGGCCGGCGTACTGGCCGGAGCGATAGGGTGGTCAGGTGTGCTCACGCTGGGGAATGACGGTGAGTTGTCGTTCACGACGCCGGAGTCACAGCTTCAGATGGTCTCCTACCAGGTCGACAGTCAATGGAGCCCACCGGGCAACTACTCGGCGGAGGACATGGCATGGCTAGTCATGAAATTCACAGCTGGAGCGATCAGCGCGATGGATGCGGTTGGTCCACGCTCCAATGTGACGGCGTGGGGACCGGCTCCAGCGCAAGTCATCCAGGTGCAGTGGAGATTTGCGGCCTCCATCCTTGGGGGGATTCCGGTGGCACAGGGGTTGGTGTTGCTGATCGTGATCATGTTCGCGAACAAAGCCATCATCAAAGACACAAGCCACTTGAGCACGGCGAGATTGTTGAGGCCGCTCGTGGAGAAACTGGGCGACCGTGGCTGCCTCTTGACGGGCGACGAGATCGCCGAGCAGCTCGGGAACTACAAGATCATCTACGGAGTGAGAGAACCCAACGCTGGATTAGGCGGTGGGTTGGGCGTCGGCGTCGTGGGCGGCGAAGACGGCAAGATCAGGCACTTGGATATACTCGAGGAAAGTGAAGGGCTAGGGTATAGGCACGGACGCATGCCCGAAGGGAGATACGACGGTGTATATCCAGTCAAGGACGAGAAAACCGAGGCACTGCTGGCAAACACCACGGATTCGGGGTCGGAGTCGGAGTCGGACGATGATCATCGAGCACCACCAGCGTGGAATGTGCGGCGGAGAAACGAGAGACGGACTCGGAGAATGAGCATCTAACGACCGTGTATGAAGAAGTCTTATTTTTCTTTTTCGCGGCCATCGAAGTGTGTAACAGTATCGATCATGCTTAGATCGTCTTTGAATGTTTTCCCCCCTTCTTCTTTGCACGAGAGCGAACCGCGAATCACGGACCGTGAGCCACGATCCTGGCTGGGGCGGTTACGTTATGTACCTACCGGTACAGAGCGAAAGCGAGGGAACATTCCGAGTACGAACGCTGTACAGAGCGTGCACGGAACAGAGGAATTCGAACAATACCAGCGTCTACCACACAGTACAGATGAATTCGTATAACACCGGCGTCTACCTACAAGAGTACAGATGAATTCGTGTAAGACCAGCGTCTACCTGTAGGTACACAGTACACAGTACATATAGACTCGTACAATACCAGCATCTATGTACCTACACAGTATATAGCATGGGGTTACCTACAGTGGAGATGAATAAGTGAATAGCATAGTACTGTAGATGGAGATAGACGTAGAGTTCTATAGAGATCAGAGGGTGTTTGTGTTCGTTCCACTCTACAGTATATACTCGTACTATATATGCCAGTGTGGAGTGCGAGTGGGCTTGAAGTCTTATTTCTCTACTCTGTTCTTATTTCTGTCTTGGATCCTTGTATCCGTTCGGGATTAGGAGGCACAGATAAGACATCACCTTTCCGTAAGGTTGACTGGTGACTGGTCTGCCTGTCCGACAACACTCTCACTCACTCACTTACTCACTCATTCACTTATTCTACCTCACGATGACCCAGCAATGTGGCCGGCGCGAACGGAGGTGTGTGTATGTATGTTCTGTATGTATATATTTAGATGGTAGTGCAAGACTTGGGCTTCATGCTCAGCCTCACTCCCGCTATAACTTTGACGGACTGGACTTCGTAGGCCGCTGATATGGCCCACCAATCATCTTCTTCCACTCGTCATCAACGCTCTGCTTCTCGACGAGCGACTTGGCGTGTGTCCATGTCCGCAGATGCTCGTCCTCGTCCTTGCGCCACATCTCCATTTCCTTCCCGATCCACTCAGAAGAGTGGTCGGCCGTGCGATCGACAGCCTCCATGGCGATTAAATGGCCAATGTCCTCGAATGTGACGCTGCGGACACGTCCTGCCGGCGCGCCACCCGACCCGCCGACACCCACGCCGGTGAGGTCCATCTTGGCTTTGCACGCATCGGCCGTGCCCACGTCGGACTTGCCGCCGAAGATGTACAGCACTGAGGGCCGCAATTCGGGGAGCCGGAAAAACGTCTGCGGGCCCTCGGCGCGGTAAAACGGGTAAATGGAGGGCAGGGCAGGATTCAAGTCCGCATGTGTCTTACGGTTAATGGGCCGGCCGTCGTGGCCGTAGCCCTCGTAGTTGGGCCGCAAAAAGGTGAAGACTTCTTGGGGCATGGGGGTCGTCAGTGTGACCTTCGGGCCGGACCTGTGGTCTTTGTCGTGGGACGGGTCCGTGTCCGTGTCCGGGTGGAGAAGCGTGGGCATGTCGCGGAGGCCGTATTTCACCCACCGTTCTAAGACGCGGGGGTCCCACGCTTGGTAGAACTTCGAGGCCGCGAAAGAGGATGCAGCAGCAGAGCGGGACGGCCATACTTGCCGGCGGAAGGTGGATAGACGGGCCGGGGAGGGACCCGCGTCTGGGGCTACGGATGAGTAGATCTGGATGACGGGGTCGATGAGCACAAGGGTCGACAGTAGGCGCGGATGCATGTACGCGAGGTTTACTCTGTGGGTATACATGTCAGTACAGTGTAGTAGAGTGGCTTGGGCACTGCGACCAGAGAAGAGAGAGGTGCCCAAGGCTACTTACAAGTGGCTGCCTCCCATGGAGTGGCCAATGCCAATGATGGGCCGGGGCATGAGATGTCTCTTCAGATTGATCATCAAGAGCAGATCCCGAGGGTGGTCGTTCCACCCCGGGTCGTTCCCCAGCAGCTGTTCGTTCAGCACACTGCTTTGACCTTGCTGCGCAACGTCTGCAATCCATATACTCCGTATGCGGAAGCCATGCTTTTTCGACCGCGCATGGATGTCGTCCCAAAGCGGCTCATACAATTCTTTGGGGAACCCGTTGGCATGGGCGCCGATGATAGTGACATCGCCAGGTTGAGGGTCGGGGTTGTCCTTGGGGATGTATTGTTTGACTGCAAGGTAGAGGACGGATTCTTGGGCATCGGCTGTGCCTCGGGGATATTCGCGGATGTGTTGGCAGGGCACCGTGTGTTCGACAATGTCAAACGACGACATTGTGCGTAGCGGATGGGAAAGGGAATATCACCGCGAGGATCTCACGGGGTACAGAGGTGAAGAGACAGGAAGCGCATGAGTCAAGGCTGCCTGTTGAATTGCGATTGCCGCAGACAGATTGCTCTGTACAACCTCAGCGCAGAGGACAAATGTACCGAGGATGCAAGGCTCGAGCTTCGGGGTCGCTGCACTAGATCCACAGGTAGTTAGCGAGCGAGAGAAGCTGCAGATGTGGAGGAAATGCCGAGGTGTCAGCCGCGCATCGGATCTGGGCCACTCTTGAAGCAGCGTGCCTTCACTGCTGGGTTCTTGTGCATCACAGGCCGGAGATCAAGGCTGTCTCGTGCGGAAGAAAAATGAATGCTCGACTTGGGGTTGTATCGTAGACAAAGAGCTGAGAAGGATGAGATGCGAAGGTGAAGGTCGCTGGGCGGAGATGACGGCGCTCCTAGAATTCCGTGGTCTTCTCACCTACTCATCAGCGCCGCTGAGGAAAGCGCGGAAAATAGAGCAGCAGTAGACCCTTCAGCCGACAGTCGTTGCTGAAGCCCAAAATCTTGGAAATGCGGAAAGAATGAAATCTTCTTGGTGGGCATGTTCATCTACTGTATTACATTCTCAACACGGCACGTGCTTTGGCGCCGGTCGCACGCCTGTGGAAACGTGACGCGTTGCCTCCACAAGCGCGTTGCGTTCCTCTTTCATCACCCACGATCCACGATCCACGATCCAAGATCTACGCTTCACGCCGGTGCAGCCTCGACACCCAGTACCGTGGTATACCACTCTGATGCAGCTTACTATTAGTAGTCCATGCCCAATTCCTTCCTTGATACCTGCGCTGGTGTTTTCCGCAACCTCATCGCCACCACCACACCTCCCACCGCAGACATGGAGATCGACGAGGCTGTCACCGAGGTGAACAAGCCTGGCCTCTTTGTACAATGCAGCTTCGCTCTCGTGTGTACCGGCGCCCTTTCGGAGAGCGAAGCGGCAGCGGTGTGTATGACGATGCGTTCAGCGACCTCAGGACTGACTGCAACAGATGGCTGACGTGCTGAGGCTGCACGACGGCAAGGCATTGATTGCCGGATACCCCGAAGAGAACCTCGACCTTAAAGAGATCACGCATGTCGTCTCCGACACGTACGACTTCCCCGACTACAATGCCTGCTCTGACGCTCTCATCCCCGTTGTCAAGCCTACTTGGGTCCAACACTGCCTTGCAAAGAAGAAACTGCTCAACCCTCGACAGTACAGCCCTGACCCTCGATACTTCATGTCCGACGTCTGTGTGTGTATTGCCGATCTGCCGTCGGGCGACGCAGATGCAATAGCTGGCGGGGTGTTGGCGATGGGAGGTCTATGGTCGCCCAAGCTGACGAGTCAAGTCACCCACATCATATCCCTGTCGATGGATTCAGAAACAGCCGCCGTGGCGGAGAAGAGGAAGCTCAATGCCAAGGTCGTACTCCCTCACTGGGTAGATGACTGTCTGAAACTTGGAAGGAAGATTGATGAGCACCCTTATCAACTCCCGGATCCAGAGATCTTAAAGTCCATCAACAAGCCACCCATGGGAAAGCGCAAGACTCCCGTGGAAGGCGCCTTACATCCCGATCCGACACAGTCCGGGCAGGAGCCGACTGCACCGCGTAAGCTGGAAAAAGTCTTTAAGAAGAAGCAGGTCATGCTCGCGACTGATTTGGGCATTTCACCATATCTTCGTGGCATCTTGGACGAGCTAATTACAACCGGTGGTGGCAAAGTGACGGAGTCTGTTTCGAAGGCCGACATGTATATCTGCAAGTACCGTGAGGGACAAGATTACAAAACTGCCTCAAGGGCAGGGAAGGACGTTGGGAACCTGGCTTGGCTCTACTTCCTGATCCAAACCGACCAGTGGACGTCTCCCATGCGGCGCATGCTACACTACCCTGTTGCAAAAGACGGTCTTCCTGGTTTTCCAGGCTTGCTGATAAGCTTGTCAAACTACAGCGGTGACGCCAGGTCATATCTGGAGAATCTCATCACTGCTACAGGGGCCCAGTGTACGAAAACACTCAAGCAGGACAATACCCATCTCATTACCGCGCATGACACGAGCGAAAAATGTGCCGCTGCGAGGGAATGGGGCGTTCACGTCATCAATCATCTCTGGCTGGAAGAGAGCTATGCTCGCTGGAAGATGCAGAGCATAACCAACAAGAGATACACACACTTTCCGCAGCGCACAAACCTAGGCGATGTTTGTGGCCACACACAATTGGACCGTAGCGTCCTCGAGCAGAATTTCTTCCCTGACGAAGACACTGACATGACTGATGCTCCAGCCACCAAGCCGATGGGGCAAGCTAATCAGACCACCTTCCTGCCGCCGTCTGCAAGAAGAGTCAAGAGCGAACAGCTACCCAAGACTCCCCGAACCCCAGCTGCCTCCAGACTTATTGCGCCTGGCAAAGAGAACGTCACACCATCCACGACCAACAGTCGCAAGTCAAAGGAACTTGCGGCGTCCCGACTGCACCAGGCTGCCGAAGATATTGCGCTCTATGAAAAGGAGACCAAGCGGAAAGGCGGTGTCATCTATGGTGGAAGGCGAAAATCTGACCCCGAGCGAATCGAGCTCGGTCGAAAACGATCCATGGATGAGATGGATGACGCTGAAACGTCCGACGATAGTGATGCGAAGAAAGTCAAGCGCAACATCGATCCTCCCCAGATACGGCTCGTCATTTCCAAATATGAGAAGTGGGTGAACAAACCGAAAGACGAAGATCGTGACAGGGCAAGTATCTGTATCCTGCTCCTTCACCGTTTCCGCTAACGTACTGTAGAAACAACTCCGCAGCCTCGGAATCTTGATTACAACAGATCCCAGCAGGGCCACACATCTCGCGGCTCCGCATATCGTCCGGACGATGAAGTTCGTCACTGCTCTTGCTTACGCTCCTCTCGTCATATCGACCGAGTTCATCGACGCTTGCCTGGAAGAGGGAAGGTTGGTCGATCCAGAGGATTACGTGCTCAAGGACACGAAGAACGAGAAGAAGTTCCATATTTCCCTGAGTGACGCTCGCAAGCGGGCTGAGAAGAACGCCAATCAGCTGCTGCAGGGTCGGTGTATCTACTGCATGGAGCAGATCACGGGAGGCTTCGAAACCTTCAAGGCCATCGTAGAAGCCAACGGTGGGCGATGTATCTTGTGGAAGAACCGCAAAGGCACGACGGTGCCATCGGCACGAGCAGACAGCGAGGCCACGACCGATACAGATGCCAATAACGACGTATATCTGCTGAGCGACGAGAACAAGTCCAACCCGGGCCTCCTGTCCCGCTTCCGAGAGATGGTCGAGGGTAGTCGCAAAGTGCCCAAAATTGTGAAGACGGATTGGATCCTCGAGTCGGCCATGTCCCAGCAGTTGCGTCCGACGAAGCCGTACGAGCTGTGATGGGGGCGGTGTGGTGTGCGGTGCGATTTGCCCAGGATGATTGATGTTCTATGACTGTATCGACTTGCCACGATAGTATGAGCATTCGGTGAAGGTGGTCTTGAATAGCGACGTCGAGTAGACTGGCTTGACATCACATCGCATCACATCGACATGTTTGTGTTTGCAGACCTGCCCTCCGCCCTTGCAAGATGGTGCCTAGTGATGAAGAGCCGAACCGTTGAAGTGTCGCCTCGACCCGAGCCCAGTCGAGACTGAGTCCTGCTACCATGAGTTGATTCTCCGCGCGACTCAAGCCCGTCTTTCTCTCTCTCTCTCTCTCTCGATGACTCGCAGCAACATTTCCGGTTCGCTATGCGACCTGCTGAACTCCTTTGACATGTCTCAAAAGAACTTGACGCCCATCTGATCCTCGGCGCCAAACACCTGGGCCCTCCCCTTCTTGACCAGTGCGGCCAACCCCCTCCGCAACACCTCGGCATCCAAGCCCCAAAACTCCTGGCCTTCCGTCTCCTGGCCCTCGACCAACTCATACAACGTCAGGACCACGCCCTTTTGGCCCGTACCTTCGACCCAGTCGGCGATCAAATTTCCCCACTCCTCGGGCCTACGCCACCAGATCCACGCCTCGAGTTTCTGCTCGTCCGTGCTGGCAACCCACTCGGCCCGCTCGTCACCTTGCTTACTGGCCATGAAGTCGATGACGGCGCGCGCGTCGCGCAGCGATAGTCGCTTGTTGAGCTCCTTGTTGTGGAAGAGCGGCGTGGCCAGCGCGTCGGGGAGGCGGAGCTTCCACTGGCGGTGGTGGCGGCAGTAGCGCTGCGTCAGGGCCGACCATTTGACGAGTTGGGCGTGGCGGGTTTGCGCCGTCGGTTGGAGCGTGAAGAAGGGGGGGAAGCTGTAGGATTTGGGGAAGATGATGGCTGGCGATGTCGCTGCCGGTGGCGTGGATGTCGTAGTACCCGTGGGTGTCGTTTGTTGAGTGTGGGCTTGGACTTCGGAAGTCGATGGGGTTGCTATTGCTATTGCTGTCGTTTCTTCTGCTGAGGTTGGGTCGGCTGGGTTGGCCATGATCGATCGCTCGACCGATCGATTGATTGATTGAATGATTGGTCTCTCCTGGACCGTACTTTCCTGTACTGTACTGTACTTGATAATTGATCAGACCGTCTTTCTGGGGGTGGGATTGATGGTCCGGTCCGGATGGTGATGCTGTACGTGTGATTCGTACTGTAGTTCGGTGGATGGTGGTTTGCCTGTAGTTAAGTATTACGGGGAGGTAGATAACAAGTATGGGTACGGAGTACGGAGTATGTAGCGTGGTATATGTCACGGGTGTCGCTCAGCTGTGCAGTTAAGGTGGTCCCAATGTGTACTGTGAAGGTAGACGGACTGTCGCCCGGATTAGTGGACTGCCGTCCCTCTGGTCTTGATCCACGCATCCTGTTGGAGCAAGACACAGATGCTGTACTCCAGCCACCTCATAGTATCACGTGATTAGCACGTGACCTCGCTGTATATATAGTCACCTTTCCCTCTTCCATACTCCTTAGTCTTCTTCAATCTCAAGCATCTTCACACCTCTCACTCTGACACATGCCATCCCGCCATTTAGCCGTCAATCACCACGTGGCCGGGTCAGAGACCCTCGTCTGGTTCCTCGTGGCTCTTTTCAATCAGCAGAACCTCGAATTAGACTCACCCAGGGACTACTGTGACGACCTGTAGGCAGGGAGACGAATCCCGGGGATTCCACCACTCTAGTATTTTAAATTGCCCTCAACACGAGGATTATCTACGAAGGCTTTGTCAGAGTGATTGCAATTGAGTCTCCTGGCTGCCATGAGTGGACGCAGTTCCCGATGCTTAGGCGATCGTTGGTAAGGCTCAAATAACTGAGATATTGCAAAGCTAGACTGGCCCAGACTGAGCACGTCCTCGCCGGGACAAAACCATAAATCATTAGTATCATCACATCCCACAGAAGCCGAGCGGGTGCCCAGTCCAAATCTGCAAGTATCAAAATCGCCTGCTAAAGTACAATGAGAGTCAAAATCCGTCAGTGCGAGTCACATCGATACGACGCTTCGTCAGCCGAACTCTTGGTCGATCTCTTCATCAGGCTTCGTATGGACGAAAGCCCTTTTGATAAACTCTTTCCATAGCCGGTTCCTCAACTTTTTGGTCTTTTGTCTAGCGTCGACCTCGTCGGCTGGTTCGATCCCATGCTCATGTTGCTCCACCAATTCATAGTCATCAGCCTGATCTTTGATTTTCAATGAATCCCGCCCGATCCTCTCAGCGAGGTCCAGCCACGACCGGATCGTCAAGTCCTTCATCTGATAGTACTTGTCGTTGTTGGTGGTATACTCGACCTTGTACTTAAAGTGCCTCTCGGGATTATGTTTGTGCTTCTCGTCTGATCGGATTTGCTCGTGAATCTGGGTCAAGTTGGCGCAGTACTGCGTGAACGACAGCAGCGAAAGTGGTTGGGGAGAAAAGCCTGGGCCGGGTGGTGAGGTCTTCGTAGGGGGCTTCGGCACAGGAAATGGAGGTTTCTTGGGCTTCTTCCTCTTCTTGCCTTTTTTGTGCTTCTTTTTGGCTCCATGCGCCTCTTTGTCTGGATGACTCTCCGTGTCATCTTCGTCGTCGGTCTGCTCAATGACATCACCCTCAGACGGGTCGCTGTCCAAAAATTCGGCGGGTTCTCCGATCGGGCCTTCTGCAGGATGCTCATTTTCCAGCCCTGTGATGTTGTACTCCATTACCCGCAGAGTTGGAAAGAAGTTGGGAACAACACTGGGGGATACCAACGAAAGGCTGAATCTCTCAGCCCAAGGTCCGCCGATCGCCTTCAAGTACTTCTTCAACTCTTTGCCTTCGCCTGACGCATCCTTGTCGGCATTGTCAAGGTTATCATCTTCAGTGGGAATACCGCCCGCCGGCGGTGCAGGCAGTTCTGACCACCCCGATCTTAACTCATTCAAGTATTGCGCCTTTGCGGAAATGCTAAACGTGTCGTCGCTTAACCTCGCGGGCCTTCGTTTGGCCGGGTCGGATCTGTCATTGATGCCTTCGATGTGAAATTTGTACTTCAAGTCCTTGACGTCCTGGAACATGAAGTGGTCGATGTTCATGTGCCCAAAAATAGAGGTAACAATGACATCGCGGTACTGACGCATCCAAAGGGTATATTTCTGGTAACAGCTCTCGTCCCAATTCTGTTTACTCTCTGTCCTAGCCGGCGGGACATGGCCGATCAAGATAGCCTTCATCCCACGGATCCGTAGGAACTGCAGCTGTGTTCGCAGCCACTCCATGTGCTCGTAACCGGGCTCTGATTTCAGGTCACAACCATCGACGGCAGAATTTGAATCAAAAAAGTACAACGTGTTCAAGCTGAAAACCGCCAGCTTGTTGGGTATCACTTCGGTAAAGAACCAGCCACCTCTTGCAAACGAATGCCGCTGTGCCTGTGGAACAAACCGGTTCCAGACGTCGAGATACTCGCGCGTCCATTTGTTCGGTCCGGGGCTGAAAATATTATGTGGGAGGATATCGTTGTTTCCAAAGGTAGGGACGATCGGAACGACAAAGTCGTTGGTCGGGTCAGGGTCGTCAATGTTATCAGGCTTTCCGAAGGTATCGACAAACTTCTCCACAATGAAGCGATTGAGCTTGAGGACCTGACTGTCTGATCGAGGGAGCCGTTCGTCATTATCGTGCCGGGCCGAGTCCCCCGTCCAGATGACAAAATCAATCTCGTCCTTCAGATTGTCCTCAATCCATTTGAAGGTGGCGTTGACCAGACTAATGGGCGTATCACAATCCGTAAGCTCCGCTCCAAATCTTCCCGCCTGGCCTTTGCCAGAGTGACATAGCTCGGTGGGGTCGGAGTGGGATTTATAGAAAGGATCGGGGTGGATGTCTAAGGAGAAAGTCAGTTGAGGATCGATGAAGGAGAGGGTTGTGTCGCAGTCACCTGTGATGTGCAGAAACCTGCCACGCAGCTTCCGCGGCGCAGGTTGTGCCTTTGATATTGACGGATCGCCAATCACTTGTTGTAAGCCGTTGCTTTGGCCAGGGATGTTTGGAGGTGCTGCTGTTGTGCAGGCTGCGCAAAGCAGGAGCCCGGCTGCGAGGCGGATCATAGCTCCGAGGAATCTGAGGTTCACATTGGCGTGAGGAGGTTGGGTATCTGGTGGTCGAGAAGATGAACACTGAGGCACAACTGACAAAGGCTCCTCTTGTCACGCGGGTTATGGGAACCGAGAGGAACTGTGCAGGCTACAGTGACTGGCAAACCGAACACAGTACTGAGTAGGCAGAACGCAGGGTCGAGGATGGCTCAATACTGCAACGACACACGTCATTCCTCGATGGGCTCAAGTGCAGCCGCTGGAGGCGAGCGCCTAATAGCCACTGATTGGGCGAAATCCTCGGGCGTCGGCTGCAGCCCCGCGATTGTCAGGAACGGCGCCCAGAACCCCGGAACCACTTCTTAGAGGCCCTGAGCCACGGTCGGTGGTTGGCGCTGCCGAAAACCGTCCGCTTGTCGCGTGGAAGACCGAAGACACAGATCGAAATGGGCGTTTGTCGAGGAATATAAACATCGAGTTCGATATGCATGTGAGGGTTGGTCATGAGAACGTGTGACACAGCGTCTCCGCTTGGTGCTGCAAGCCCCTTCCTCATGCTGGCCGTGTCCTCAAAATCAGAGTTTAGCTGAGGCCTTCTTGACCAGCCAACTGCTCGAGGCCAATAGAGCTGCACACGTGGGCTGGTTGTGCTCTCAGATGACCTGTGCCGCCGCCCCCCTTTACGGGAGCTGACACCCACGTTTCGCTGGACTCGGGTTGGCTCAGCCTTCGACCGCCTTTTTCTGGCGGGACCCTGATGGCAAGTGGCATTCTGATATGATCGGTCCCATCGACCGCCACAATGACAACCGAACCCCCAAGCACACGACCCTTTGAGCGACCCGTACCGCATTGGTCCGCGCGTGTCGTGACTTATGGGAGCCCGGATGAAAATCCCTACTGCCTTCAACTTCGGCCACCATGAAACTCGTAGCTGCGCCGAGGCAGTGTCCCTTGTGGCATGGGATAAAGCCCTGGCGGCATGTGATATTCTTCCGGTGGCGTGAGCATACGTTGTTGCTGGACGTCCGCTCGGACAGGGTCTTGGTTGATGGGAGGGCTTGGAAGCTGGGTTAGAACTGGTCCGTCGTATGCATACTGATTTGAGCCCGACCCGTATCCAGCATTGGGGCCCACCAGGCCGGAGTTGGTGGAATACTGCGAAGCACTAAATTCCATCTGTCGGCTTTTCAGGCGGGAAAAGAGCACGGCCGATTCTTGTTCGAACCTTTCTCGCATCTCCGGCATTGCCCAGCGATGCCGTGCGAAGTCCAATATTTCGATAATCTTCCGAAGACAGATGGTTGCTCGCTGCCCGTTGTCGAGGGGCACATTGTTGGCCAGGGGGGAGCCGTCTCGGACAGTGTGGGTGGTCTTGATGAGCCGGTCGAAGTCAGACCACATGACTTCCACAAACTTCTGCCCGACGTACTTCGCCCGACAGATGTCGGCGTAGGTGAGGTAGGCATGCCAGCTGATATCCTGGGCAATAGGCTGTAGGAGGTCGGCGTACTGAGCCGAATACTCAAACACCAGTTCTTTGTTCAGGTCAGTCATGCTGCTTGCAGGAACTCGTTGATTCGGCGAAACAACCAAAATGTGGGAATACAGCCGTTCAAGATTGAACAACATAAGATGACGCTGTGACAATGTTGGTGGAATGGTGCTGTACCAAGCGTGAATATCATTAGAGACTGTGCTGGCATATGTGGCTGCCGTGGCTAGCGGCCATTGTGACCGGGACGACCATCTCGTCGTCTGATAGAACGCTGACTGGACCCGACGAATATCAAACAGGTAGAGGGACGGCTTCAGCAGTCGTTGGAAGACTTGGGACGGTGACGGATCTGCCACTGACTCAGGCAGAGGTACCTCTGAGGCGGAATCGTCTGTGAATGAAAATGCTCGGTCCAGGGACATGCTGACCAGACGGTCGAATGCGTACGTGCAATGGAATATCCTCCGTCGTAGATCCAGAGTGCTTTTGCTGATTTTGGTTTCCGGCGCTGGCTCGCAATGGAGACCTAGATCGACGACGAGGCGGGCAGCCATTCCTACGAGATACCAGGAGTCATAGTGCGCAGGATCCACCAACGAGTACTGAACTAGCAGCAACAGAGCTTGAACACCAGCAATCGACCCTGGATGGAGCACATAACCCGCAAGGCCTCTAGCCGCCGACATGTGTTGAAGAGCTGTACTATCATTCTCGTCTCCCTTTCGCTGGGAGTTTGCTGCGTGGACAGTGGCCAGAATAAGCCGGACATACCACACGTCCAGAGGGGTCACCGTCGACGAAACAGCAGCAGACTCATTGTAGATTCGGGAGAGGCTGGCCATCAGGTCCGTTTCGGAGAAAAAGGGGAACAAGACAAATATGTTCTCCAGGTATTGGTTGATCATAGGAGTGATGGCATAGCGCGGTGGTAGTCCGCGCATCTCGAGAGGAGGTAGCTCGTCTCTTGCGGCCGCCGAGAGGAGAAGTTTCGCAAACGACATGGTCGAGGTGAATCCGTGAAAGTCGCGTGATGTCGCATTGACAGTCAGAAACCCAAAATCGCTCACCAGTTCATCGACGTCCGACGCTTCCCTTCGACGGGCTCCGCTTATCTTTCGCCTCTGTTGCGGTCGACCTGCAGATGAGGCTCCCGATGCCGCTTGGTGGCCAGCCGCTTCGACTCGAGCCATGTCGATCTTTTTCTGCAGCCGTTGAGCAGCAGCTTCGAGAGCGGCGACATAGCTACGCTCCTTGCCCCGAGCGAACTCGTCGTTGGCGCTCGTGCAGCTTGTCGCTTTGCCCGACCTCTCACAGGCCGAGCAGGCCGGTAGCTTCCCGTCACATTTGATTTTGGCAGACCGACACCGTGCGCATGCGGCAACCGGCCTCGAAACCCTCAGTGAAGGGTTCAAGAGTGCCTCGACAGACTCGGGCTTGGTCATGATTGAAGGGTAAATCAGATGCAGGTTTCAATCCATTTCCATGCAGTCGGGTTCGCAATGCTACGTCCTGTGTAAACCAGACAGTGTTGGCTCACAATGAAGATGACGTGCTTATCAGTATCGGCCTTTGTCGAGGTGCGTGAGAACGACAATTCCCTCTGCGAGAACAGAGGGCTTCAGTAAGTGATATAGTCCAGCTGATACTGTAGCTCGCGGCTGATCACAGTCTTGGGCTGACGCCGGGATCCTGTGGTTGATGAAATCTTCTCTGGTCGACGGTCAGCCATTTCTCCCGAAGTCTAGAGTTGTGGTGGAGGGGTCCATTGACAATTGAGAGTCGGGGTCGAGAGCATCTAACTTAGGCTATTCCTTCCAATGTTGTCGGGGGCCAGAGCAGCTGCCGAGGCGGTGGCGCCTTCGTGCCCGACTTAACTATGGGTGTCCAGCAGGATGATCCCTGAACGCCTGCAAGCCACTTAAGGCCACTTAAGGTAACTAGGCGCCGAACAAACTCCCCTAGCGGTCCCTTATAGGCAGGCCCCTCGCCCTGCAGCTGGCAAATAGGCATCAGCGGGACCCTATTTGACGGGTGTGTTGTTCAGCTTTGTGCTTCAGCCCTGCATTCAAGCACTCATCTTTGAGGTGCGCAGGGGCAAATACTTCTCCCAGTATGGACTTCCCAATTCCCTGCTGCCCGCCGTCGATCATGACAGGTCGCCATTGATCTTCTGAACCTTTCTGGCAGCCAGAGGCTCCCGATTCTCAATGCTGACAGGGGGAAACTCTCTGACTAGGCGACAAAGCTTCAAGCCTGTGCGATACGGCACTCTCCAATGAGGTCTTGCCTCAGACAGCCGCCGTACGACCACTGACCACCACGACGTTCGCTCCTCAGGCTTTATGTATCGGCCCACGAACACACGATGAGAGATGGAAATCCGCCTGAGGTGCTTAGGGCATACATCCGGACGACCTGAACGGTATAGACTCAATACTTTGTCGCTGCCCCTGCGTACAGATGGCAGACCACGAAAATGCGACTATGGCCGACTCGCCAGAAACGGCCCGAACTCGTGACAAGGTCCATCATACCGTGACCGCCTGCGTGCGGTGCAGACAGGTGAGCATGTCTCTGTGTGGCCGAGACGAATATCGTGACTGATGTCTGGCAGAGAAAGACGAGATGCGACCCCGTCCTCCCCCGGTGTGAGCCATGTGAGAGGAGCAACGCCCACTGCGAATACTACGATTCGGTAAAGAACAGGACCATACCGCGAACATACATAACTTCGTTACAAGACACGGTGCGCAGACTGAATGAAGAACTGAAAGCCCTGGAAAAGGACGACGAGCATGAGCCGGACCATGAGGCAATGGCGCGAGGTGCTGGCCTGGTCAAGTTCAGTGAGAACGATGAAAGTCGCTTTCTGGGCCCCTCCAGTGGCATTGCCATCACACGCTTTGTCATGGAGTTCGCAAAGCAGAACTCTTCCCGAAGGACTATCAAGGACGTCGTGCCACACCATGCCGCCCAGGAGATCAAGGACAAGTTCGATGCCGAAAGCGACAAACCCACATCCAAGGTCTACCCACTGATCAGCTCAGTTGCTGCCCCTGATCTTCCCAACCGTGAATTAATGGATCGCCTGGTTGAGATTTACATGGCCAAGGCTCAATACATGCTCCCACTTCTCCATGAACCGACATTTCTGAGCGAGCTCGAGGCGGTCTACGGCGGGTCGAAAGATCCGACGCTCAACTTCCAGGTGCGTCTTGTGATTGCCATCAGCATGCAGAAACTGGATAAGCAGTACGCCGGATTGGCCGACAGCTACTATCTGGCTGCTCTACCCTTCCTGACCGGAGCAGTCCAGAAGATGGATCTCTCGACGTTGCAATGCTTTGCCCTCATTGCTCAATATTCCTTGCTCACACCAACACGGACAGCGGCATACTGGGTTGTCGGTATCGCCGCAAAGCTGTGTCAGGACCTCGGCTTGTGCGAAGAGGAGACCATTCATCGACCACCGTCTGGAGCTCGACCCAACGCCCTCGAAGTCGACATGCGCCGACGGCTGTTCTGGATCATTACATCTATGGAATACGGCCTCGCGCATAGTTTGGGGAGACCGAGTGCATTTGGAGTTACTGTCGACAACATCAACGTCAACTTCTTCGAGCTTTGCGATGACCGATATATTAGTGCCGACGGTCTTCTTCCTGGCCATCACCCAATCATGAAGAAGTGTATATCGATTCATTTCTTCAGGATGCGACTGCTCCAGGCTGAGATCAGGCGAAAGTTGTACCTGAAAAAAAGAGATGCCCCCACGCATGACCAAGATCCTTGGTTCCACCAAATCTTGACCAAGATTGACAATTGGGTTCGTGACTGTCCCAAGAACGATGAGGGTTCCGGGCTCAGTGAGAGCTGGTTCATTGGACGTAAGAACACAATGATCGTGTTCCTATACCGTCCTTCACCTCAAATCCCGAACCCGTCGCTTTTTGCAGCCCAACAGTGTTATTCGGCAGCAATCTTCAACATCCAACTCCAGAAACGCCAGGTAGAAGCCCACTTGATTGATATCACCTGGATATTCACTCAAGCTATCTTCATGGCATTGAACACTGTACTGTGGTGCATCTCGTACCCGGGTATTCGCCAACAGCATCCCTTGGAGGAAGTCCAACTACATATTCAGGACGCGCTGAAAGCAATCGATCTTTGTGCGGATCGGTGGCCAGGTGTTCGTTCTGCCCAACAGCTCTATGACAACCTCGTGCTGGGCTGTCTCAAAGCTTATGAGGTCGACAACAAGGAATCTCCGGCCTCGCAATCCGATTATCTCTCCTCAACAACTCAAGACCTGAGTTCCTCTGCTGCTTCCCAATTCGCCACGAGTCCAGCTAGTACCACGAATACATCATACTTCGGCGCTCAATCTCCTCAGTCAATCCACAGCGTCCACGTCGCGTCGAATAGCCACAACTTCAAGAGCGCAGCGGCCGGGTACATCGACCATTCCACACAACAACAGCATTATCAACCCCAGTCCCAGCCAGAAATGCACCCAACCTCGACCCAATCCTTCTCGCCGTCGCAGCAGTATATTCCCACCACTACCGCCATTTCCCTTCCTCGGCTCGATGCCAGCTCAATGCACTACAGCTTGCCAGGTTTTGATCCACATGCTTTCCCAACCACGACTTCCTCGGCTGGGACCGGCTCGTGGTCGACTGCACCCCTCATACCTGGAGTGATCCCTGGCATCACGGGCTCCCCTAATTTGAACTATGACGAACTACCCTACCTCGCCTCTTTCGGACACGAGTACAGTCGCTATATGGGGCAGTCCTTCCCTCCACCCGGGCCTCATAGTGGCAGTACTGTGTCTGGGCCTCCAAGTACACACCCTGGCCCAGCATTTGCGGGAGAGAGTCCCTATGCCATGCAATCGCTGAGCTCCCAACAGCAAATGGAGCTCATGGCCATGCTACAGAGTGCACAGAGTAACGGCCAGTTACCGGACGTCAGTAGGCTCGTCAGCGATGCCACTACCTTTTACACCGCGCAACTACCGTGAAAGGCCCTCTGGACGCAGCATCAGGACCAAAGTCTACGCAGTGCGGAAAATTAGCAGGAGCGACGACACTTCTGGACCTGCATTGGGACGATGGGAAGAGGAGCCTTCATGAGAGGCACCTTTCCGGTCCTTGCCGCCCAATGCGACCAAAGCCTTCGGATAGCACAGAAGAAATGTGATCCCGATTGCGCTTTCGAGGAACAAGACGTTGGCTGCCGATCCGACAAGAGTCGCTCCTAATGGCACGCCTATGAATGCAGTGAATTCATCTGGAGCCACCCAACAAGCCGGAAGCGAGACTTCGGCTAGCGCCTCTTACGTTGACTTGGCACACGGTAAATTACGAGCCACGAGGCACACACATCTTAAGGCCAGTTCTCTGACATCGGCCACAACCTGCGGATATTGGGACAAATAGACGTGTTATGCCTCGCAATCGGCTAAACTAGCACTCTGGGGTTGTCTCTTGCTTCAGGCCGTACTTGCAGATTCCAAAAGGATGCTGGCTCAACCCTACGCCCTATCCAGATTTGTCCATTAATATCGACATACTCCAGTTAAGTTGAGACGCCAGCATGATCACCTAAAAAAGGAACCCCGGATAGAGGGGCGAAATCGTCCGGCGATCCAGCCTGATAGTGGGAGCCTGGGTATCTGTCTCGGCCTCAGGAATCATCGGGAAGACCTCCTGGAGGCTTTGACACCATCGACGAAACTAAATCAAGCATTCAACGCATCCGATGTGAATACCAGGAACGCGGGAGCCAAAAGCCATGCAGACTGTTGAGCATACAAGGATGCAAGTCTGTTGCTGTTGGGTCAATATTTTGGTTGCTGGCTCAGCCTTACCCTAGTGCCGAGTCATTCGACCGGCTGTTTGCTAAGCAGCCAGCGACTGTTAGATCATCGGTGAAATTGCTCTTGCTGGGAAAGCCCTGTGGCTACTGTGGCCACAAGCACCGTGCTCAGTCCAGAATGCCACCCCGGCATATCCGTGGTTGGGGGCGCCGCCGATGCACGGGTGCACAGGGGCATGGGCGTGCGGCTGCCTGGCTCAGCCTTATAACTCAGTGCCTGGTTGACCCGGAGAACCAGTCAAGCCGCGATTCGGCCCCCAGCACGAAGCATGCATGGTCTACGAACCGTGAAACACTCATACTGTACGAGTGCACGTCACTGGACACGGAAAACAGGTGGGTGCAGGGGGGAATCGGATCACGCTTTCTGCACGGCTGGGGTTTCCAGTTTGGACGAGACGGCCCCTCTGGATTCAAGCCCCTGCTACGAGTTCTGGGTAGCTACTGGACACCACAGCACACGGGACACTGCAGACAGGGGATGTTGCCGTATTCGTCTTGTAAACGAAATGGACTCGATTGGGTAAGCGATCCAGCGCCCAGCCTGGCAGGGGTCATCAACTTCCTCGCTCGGTCGAGCGCCAGGAGGTGTATGGCGAAGAATGTTCTCTGCACAGTACAAAGATTCCAACCCATGACTCCTAGATTCGTGTCGAATTATTTTCGCCTCAAAGGCACCAATCAATGGAAGTGTTTCTCGTGCACTGTGCCAGAGAAACGGCACCGGTAGGAGTAATGCATTAGGTCGGGTCTTTCGAGACGGGCATACCGTGCCGTAGATTGAGGAGCGGACTGGCACCTGCGCAATACCGTATCCAGGACGCAGGAACTGTGGCGGCGTCTCTGGGACCGATGCGTGGTGGGGATCGAGAGTCGATGGTGCGAGTTGAGGCCTCCTCTGTGTGGCGTCATACGTCCGCCATAGCCACCTTACCCCACTTAGCGCTCTCCACACCGCTTTAGCGTCAGCCACAACTTGCCTTTCGTTGCCTTTTCATCGTTGCTTGCTCCCTATGACTGGCTCTGACGGCAGTGCGTCAGAGGCAGAATCTTTTCTTGCTCTTCATCGTCTTCTTCGTTGAATCATTTCCGCTAAATATTAGGAACCACGTCTGTTATGACTGTGAGGGCTATCAAGGGACGTCGTATTGTTGGTGCAAAAGAACAATCCGCCATGTGGCACAAAATGTGGCTGGTGGGGTTGTTCTATTAGTCGAGCTTGTGATTGGGCGTTAGACTGCCACAAACCGCACTAACTCGGGTAGCGTTGACGCATCTTGGCGCCGCCTTACCTGCATTGTGCGTCATCGAATTTGGCTTCGGCTTCGACCGAGTTTTTCGAGGCTGTGCACAATTGTGCTGGAACCTTTTGCTCTCCAGGAACAAAAGAGACGCCGCCGCAGGGAGCCGCCTTCCTTCGCGCATTCCCATTGCTGCGAGAGCCGCAGGAACATGCCTATGCTCTCCCATGCAGGCTCAGGCTAACGACAGATCTGGATAGGTAAGTATAGCATGGTGTTGGCCTTGCATGCCTCCAGTTCGCATCCCAGGACGTCAGAGAACACTTCATATCGAGTCACTTGCTTCTCAATGGGACACATCTCTTTCTATTCATCAACCATATTTGCAAGTCCCCTCTGGCAGGTCAGTTGCATTCACAGGTACCGAGCGACAGTCCTTTGATTCTTGTCTTCTCCGTCGTTCATTCAGTCACTTGAAAGCTGTGCTTTTCTTTGCTCATTTCTTATTGCGCCGCTGGATCGGATCCCTTTCCATTAATTTCGTCTGGTCATGAGGTTTGCCTGGCTGGACACCTCCATTGGAAATGAATCACCCTGGCTTTCCGCTGACCTGGAATGGAGAGCGCCAACCTCGACTTCCGCAGTTGGGGCGTTCGGCGCAAGAAATCCGAGATGCCAGCCAACGAGGAGCCGCTTTCCGCAATACAGTCGCGATCCAGCCCGATGCTGCATTTCAGCTTCAGCAGTCAGCTTTCCCACCCCCCGTCCGTCAAGTACCTCAGCTCGATCTCTTCGGCAACAATGCGCAAGCCTCCCCCGCTCAGAGCCGCGCCTGGGATAATGTTTTCCAGAGTATCCTTACTCACCCGGATATTGCGACCCATCGAGACGGCGTTTGCAGCTACCTTCGCATCCCATCTGGGCTGTGGACCGAGCTCTACAAACCCCAGGTGTTCGAACACGTCCACCACCTGCTTACCGATTGCCTTGCCCGAAATTATGGAAGGCTCCCTGATGACCTCAGGATCCTGATCAACGAGCTTAGAGATCTTCCTGAATTCCCACATTTGCGGGCCCACCTTGTCAACGTAATCATGTCGACTGTGCCGCAGCAGGATCCCCCACAGACACCGTCGGTCTCCTCCGGACAGGATGTAAGAGCGACGGTCAGTCACAGCGTTGGTTCAGACTTCGACAGGTCTGGGGAGACAAGTCCCATCCTAGTGATCTCCAGTCCTAGGACTGCACAAAGTGGTCGAACGGCAGTCACCACACCCCTTTCCGTGGGAAATGTGCGAAGCACCCCACAGACGCCATTTCAGAGGGCTAAAGGAAGAGCACCAAGGGGGGAAAGGTACAAATGCCCGTACACCAACTGCAAGCATGAGCCCTTCCGGAATGCTGGGAACTTCAACAATCACATGCGCAGTTGCCATGCCGAATCGCCATACCGCAATCAACATCCTTCCGACTTCCTAATTCCAGACTTGTCTCCGCAGCCAAGTATTCAAGGGGATGCAATGTCCTCGGCAGCCACAACCTCCAGTGGTTCACCCCTGAGCCACCGTAGACCGTCACAGGACTTTGGCAATGGAGAGGTTGCGGACATTGGTGACCGGAATGCGCTCGAAAGCATAGGAAATAACGTAGTCTTTCATGCCGGTCATGTTGGACTTCAAGCTGGTGTGGCGCGAGGCGGTCTGAACCATGCTGATCCTCAAGAAGAGCAAGTTACCAGCGGGCTGGTGAACAGCTCGCTTCTCGAGAGCTTTACGTTCAGTCCAAGCAGCCGCCAACTCCAGCCTGACATCATTTGGGACGATGCTGCCGACGACATAAATCGGCTGTCACCTACCGGAGCAGGGCCCGTAGGATTTTACGACTTCCAAATGATGGAGAGAAGCAGGCGTAGTGACCGGACCTCGAGATAGTGTGGAGTGGAGGGGGCTGTTGCCGATGTAGCGCCCAGCCTGGCTGAACAGGTGTGGCAATGTATTCACGGTCTGGTCTGGAAGCACCGGCAGGGCAGCAGAAGCAGAGCTGTTTGAGGTACTGACGCCACGACTTCTCGAAGAAAGTCGAAAATTGATTTCCCCTTCCTACCGAAAGATCCGTTCCTGATTTGACAATATACTCAACGCAGAAAAGGCTGAGACAGACCGGCTAGAGCTAGGTATTTTCTAGTAATGCAGACCTTGTGACTTCTGGCATGATCCTCAAGAAACGATTCCTTGGATCGCGAGGAGCCCTTGTCGAATGCTTCCGAACACCCCGCCCTCCGGCGTCAGCGGGAAAAACGGTGATCTCCATCCCAGACCCATAAGTTCGTGGAGCTATGTCAGTCAAGGGACGCGACCGTGGCAATCCGCGATTGGGACGGCGGATTGTGCATGGGAGTCAGGGGGGTGGTGCTCGACGAGAGGCGAGGAAGTATTCGTTCTCGAGCAGCAAGCTGCAGGGAGGAGCGAGCCCTGCAAGTGTTGCCCCCTGGACCTCGCACCGCTGCCGGAAAGAGCAATGCAGAATCTTCGGGGCTGGCACACCTGCATCAAGACACGAGCTGCTGTGCTAGCTACGGTATCGTGGTGGCTCCAGAGCGTGCCTGGTGCCTGGGCTGGGCGAGTGGCTATGTTACTTACAGTGCCGAGTAGGTGCGTGAGCAGCGGCCGGATGTCAATGCCCGTCAGCTGCACGTCGACGTCTCGTTCAGGGAGACTAGCATACGGATTACATGCTGTAGATTGGGTGATTAAACAGTTCCTGGCAAGCACCGAATGTCCGCTTTTCTATCAACCTCGTCTCCTACAGTACTCGTAGCCAATGCCTGGAGTGGCATGTTCTCGAGCGCGGCTGTTGTCACAGGCTCCCGCCCGCAGTGCGCCACGACGAAGCCAAGATCGGCACAAGATATAAATTCGACTTGGATTTTCTGCATCCCAAGAGTCCCACAGTTGCTACGATGGCTTAACGGCGAAAAGTCAAATATCCTGCCTGGATGCCTGCGCTTGCTTGCACAAATGACGCGCTGCGGACGCAGAATCGTGACCGTGGTAAGAGTACACATTAATGGTTGACTTAATTACCTACACAGAACGAGACATTCCCATGGTCGGTACTCGTACTGCGTGCACGTATGGCGGAGAAGGATGCACCTGCTCAGGTAAGATGGATCCATACTCCGTACTTACTCCGTCACAGTCGTTTCTTCGCGTGGCAACAGTGGCACAAGGTGGGGGGAAGCACATCGCGTTTCAGATGCTCGGTTCATGGTCATTGCTATGGAGCAGCTCGTCCAGTACCTCGTAGAATGGAGACAGGATCGCGGCGCTAGACATGACCAACGCTTAGTTACTGCGCAGGCCGAGTCGGGTACTCGTACGAGTTACGTCCTCGTGAACAGCCACACTCAAAGAGTCAAGCTAATGCGGTCGAGGGTACCCTTGTTGCCGTTGCTTGCTCAGCAGATCGAGCACATCTTGCAATAAGCGCAGTCCAGGGCACGGCAAGATGCAGCTGACAATCGAGCGACAGCCGAGAAGAGTGATACCATTCGACCTGCACTAAAGCGATAGTGCGCACACAAGCAAAGTATGCCCAGGCGGTGGTTGAGGGTAAGGAGAATGCTGCGGGGTCCAGCCCAGCAAATCACAAGCACAACGAGGTGACACTTCCTCCGCAGTGGTGACTGTGGAGGCTCGGGCGAGCCTGTCGTTCGTCATGGGCCCCGTTCAGATGCTCCAGGCATGCCCAATTCAAGGCGTTTTAGCTCTTGAGCGCCTGGACCCGCAGCCGGTCCTTGCCTAAAAGAGCCAAAAGATGGCATCTTTGTAAATCACAAAAGATGCCGACTTCTGCTCTTGCTTGCTTCGCAGTCTTGCTCTCACCATCTGCTAATATGAGAGCAACATTAATGATGGCAGCCGGTTCTGCCTTGTGTGCTCAGAGCCACCGTTAGCGTCTACGTATAAATCTCGTCGCCCTGCCATGCCATGCCCTGCTGGGTGCCTGCAGACATTCATAATCCCATCGTCCGCCTTGCCTTCTGTTCGCCCTTGCCGCCCAGCCCATTGATCTGGGGTGAGAGGACTTCGTCTTCAGACGCAAGCTCCATTGATCCAGCCTTTCCTTACTGCTCACGGTGATACTCACTGCTTCCTTTGACCTCTCCTTAAACAACGGGTATCGTATCCGCACCCGCCTGTGCGATCCTCACGCCCCGACCGGGCAGGCCTGCTGTCTTCTTATCCTCTTCACCTTCAGCCTGATTGCGACCTGACCTGACCGAGCCTTCCAACATGGCATTCGAGTTTCAACCATCGGTCTTGCCCAATCACCCGAGGCATTCAAGCAGTGCTCAAGCCCATGGGCGTCAACGGCCACAGCTCGCTATCCCTACCGGAGACAACGACCGCCCCGGTGCGTCGCAGACCAGCCCCATCTCGGTAAAACTCGAAGAAATGTTCGCCCATGGATGTTTCCACCACTATTCTTCAACGATTCAAGATATGTTCGAAGCCGACCACCAGCATTGGTTCATACTGCGTTTCCTTCGTCGGGATTCGCAGTGCCCCCTCTTCCGGAGGAACCATACAAGCATCTACTACAACCCTCCACCGGATCTGTTTGCGTTGGTCGCAGAGATTCGAGAGGACAAGAGCTGGGAGGCCAAGAGGCTGGAGGTGCTTGCGTCGGTGAGCAGTGTCCGGCGCCTGTCAGGATCTTCTTGGCCCGATTCTCGAGGCTCAGGGCCCAGTCCGTACCATGCAACCCATCTTACACCTGCCACGGGATCCGTTCGCTCGGCATCGAGAGAAGGGAAGTCCTTGGTCCCTCCTGGCATCCAATACGGTCGGCCGGTATCCGGATATCAATCCTCGAGCCAAGGCCCTGGCTCCTCCGCTGCCGCAACTAGTCCGACTCCCACCGAAGGCCATGCCTGTGTAGGGAACGGGGGCCGTACAGCTCCAAAGGGCCACCTTTTCTATTGCCCCTCCAGGAACTGCAGAAGAAGCTATCCTCGCGAGGGTTACTCCCGTCAAGGACATTACGACAACCACATGAAGACACACCACGCCGAATGGCCACTTCATGATCCTCTATCTTCCTTGCACGAGATACCTACTCCCGAGTACCCTGTTGCCAGCCATCTGCATGAACATCCGGCGTCCCGACCGGCACCTGAAGTGATATGGCCTACGACACCGCAGCCACAACCGCAGCCGCTATTCACGGCGTCGACGCCGCACACGCCTCTCCGTCCTGTCGGTGAGCCAGGAAGTGAACGCCCCTCAACTCTCAACCCGGATACCGTCCTTCCAGACATACTACAATCCGGCACGGAAACCGAAATAACCCGTTATCCGCCCGGGTCTTTCCCATCCGGATTTCCAAGTGACGCTGTTGGCTCGTCTCAGCCGGATTGGGATCTCGGAAACTATTTCCCACTACTGAGTCAGAGCTATTCGAACTCGAATCAATCATTCCAGTCTACCGATTCCTACATGCAGGACCAATGACCAATGGCTATACCTGGACCCCATCAGATATCCCTCCTAATCGACCCCAGGGATGCGGCTTGCACGCCGCATCTCTCCGACTTCTTACACTTTTCTCAAACCCTTCCGACATCCGAGTCCAGGGTAGCGCCTCGTGTGCTACGCAGGCATTCGACATACACAACATTCACGATCCCTTCCGTTACCAGCACGGATACGACACGTCCTTCCGCATCTGTGCGGCATCAGGGACCCATGGAAGATCTGATGAGATGATATATGAGTTGACGAGATGATGTAGATCAATGTGTGCATGGCTGGTGAGAGGATTTCCATTTTGTGGTACAAGTCCGATTGCACTGGCCTGGTTTCCCCTTCTAGACGGTATTCAGGGGCTCTCACGAGCCATGCCGAATGTTCATCAGTCATGCCGCGGTGACAGCGGCCTCGGTCTGAAGCCATTCGGCTGTGGTAGCATTTCAAGGCTGCCCAAATGATTGATCCAAAAGTTCGCACTTGAGCGTTCATATATTTGGAGAGATATCCCTGTACGAACAGAACTCCCACGGGTCTAACTGTATTTGGAAACGCTCGGAATTCACGTGATCTAGCATAATCATGCCGAGGCCCGGCGGCACCGGCACTGGAGTGCGGGGAAGTCAGCGCGCTTGCCGGCGTGCCGTGTCGCTCCTTGAAGTACTGTAAGTAATCAATGTCGACCATGTCGGGCCTATATCAAACACGGGTCCAACTCTCTTCCCACTGGTAGCGACGGCTGGGTTCGATCCATCACCATCACCATCACCATATCCTCGCCATCATGTCCTTCCAGCAGAACGCCTACGTCCTCGGCGTCGGCCTGACGCAATTCATCAAGCCACGCCAACTCCGCCCGTATCCCGAGCTGGGGTTCGAAGCCGGCACCAAAGCCCTGTTGGACGCACACATCACGTACGACGATGTGCAGACCGGCGTGGCCTGCTACTGCTACGGCGACACGACCTCGGGACAGCGGATATTCTACCAGTTCGGCATGACCAACATCCCCATCTACAACACCAACAATGCGTGCGCGACGGGGTCGACAGGGCTGCAGATGGCCCGGACGCTGGTCAAGGGCGGCATCGTCGACGTCGTCATGGTCATCGGCTTCGAGACCATGAAGCCCGGCAGCATCAAGTCCATCTGGGACGACCGGCCGAGTCCCATGGGGTTGGGCACGCGGTTGATGGAGGAGACCCGAGGCAAGTTCGACTCGCCGCGGAATGCGCAGTTCTTTGCCAACGCCGGCCGCGAGTATATGGAGAAGTAAGTTTGGAGTATCTCTTTTGTCACTGCGTATGCGTATATGATGTATATGCACTGGGTGCGCAACTGCCTCGCGTGTGTCTTGACGTTACATCACATTCTATCTAGACCCTACCACGCACGTACCTGGCTGGGATTTCCATTCCATTCCATTCCAGAGAGTGTAGCTACCACGCACATGGCTAACCAACACGTCCACGACCAGGTACGGAGCCACGGCGCGCGACTTTGCCGAAATCGCACGCATCTCGCACGAACACTCGTCGCGCAACCCGTACGCGCAGTTCCGCGACGTCTACACGCTCGAGCAGATCGAAAAGTCGCCCATGATCCACTACCCGCTGACCAAGCTGCAATGCTCGCCGACGTCGGACGGCGCGGGCGCGGCCGTCATCGTGTCGCAACGATTTTTGGATTCGCGCCCCGAGCTCAAATCGCACGCCGTGCTCATGGCGGGCCAATCGCTCATGACGGACTCGCCGGCGCTGTTCTCCCGCTCGGCCATGGACCTCGTGGGCTTCGACATGACACGGCGGGCCGCCAAGGCCGCGCTGGCCGAGGCCGGCGTGCGGCCCACGGACGTCAAGGTGTGCGAGATGCACGACTGCTTCTCGGCCAACGAGCTCATCACGCTCGAGGGGCTCGGCTTCTGCGCCCCCGGCACCGCCCACCACATGGTCCGCAACGGCGACATCACGTACGGCGGTAAAGGTCCCATCATCAACCCCTCGGGCGGCTTGATCTCCAAGGGCCACCCACTCGGCGCCACGGGGCTGGCCCAGTGCGCCGAGCTCACGTGGCAGTTGAGGGGCTGGGCCAACAATGGCCGGCTCGTCAAGGACGTCGACGTCGCCCTGCAGCACAATCTGGGCTTGGGCGGCGCCGTCGTCATCACCGTGTACAAGCGTGCCGACGGCCGCAAGAACACGGATGCCAGCCAGAGTGACGCCGAGATTGCCCGGTCGAGCGGTCTGGGGTATAATCCCGCGGTGGAGGCGCGCGGCGTCACCAAGGACGATTTCGAGAAGGTCAGGAGCAGGGTCGGGAGAAGCGACTATGCGCTCGGCGAGACGGCGGAGAAGATCCAGGCTAGATTGTAAGATCCTGACTGGCGCGTCACTCAAAAAGTGGTCACCGTGGTGTAGCACGGCGTAGCATGAGAATGTACTCCATATGATGACCATGAAGATGATCATGACCGGTCCGCGTGTTTAGTGTCAAGAGAACTGCGTCGTGTCCGCCAGAACAAACACTTACCATAAGGAAGAATGATTTGGTCGTAACTCACGCCACGCCACGCCACGCCATGCTCGCAGCCTGTGCCCTGTTCATTATATTACCGTACGTACCTCTCCCGTTTGTGAGACTGGTGCTACCCACAACGTAATATGTATCTACTATCATTCCTTTCCTACATACAGCGACTACTACAGAGATCGAGTTTAGCGTGCCGCGATGTTCCCCGCAATCATCGCGTGACCGTCAAGTTCTGGTTCCTCGTCACAGCCAAGAACGTCAGACTCCAAAGCTGCCTGATGTCGCTTTCCGTCCCGGCACTCACGCCGGGTGGGGGAGGCAGCACACCCAGCGGCAGCGTGGTGAAGTTGCCGGTGTTGTTGTTGTACCGCCAGCTCCAGACCTCGCCCTGCAGCTGGGCCGAGTTGGCCTCGATGCTGTCCCAGAGAGTGTTGTACGCCAGTAGGACGTTGTTATACACGGACGAGTCGCCGCACCATGCCGGGGCTGTGGAGGAGTTGGAATTGGATGTGGCGTTGGTGTCGCATCTCGCAAGCTGCCTCTCTAACCCCTTGGCCATCATGGACAGCTGGAACGACCAGACCACGCAGCCGTGATACGCGGCGTTTGTGAAGTTGGCAATCAGCACGTCCGAGCCCGAGAGTGCCGGGTTGGCGACGATCATGCTCTGCGGCGTCATGAGACCCGCCGGGAAGGAGCGGATCAAGCTACTGGCTGTGGCGTTGATGAAGCGGTTTTCCTGTGCCGCGGCTTCGGGTGTCGAGGCAGAGGCATTGACGAAGAACAAGCGAAACCCAGTGTCGCTGTGTTGGACATTGACAGACGACAGGTTGTTGTACCCGTCGAGTGCGATCGAGTATGTCGTCAAATTGCCCGAGGAAGGAAGCGAGGACGCGTTTGCCGGACCGTCGTAGAAGGTGGCGGTGTTGGCAAAGTTCTGGAGGCGAGAACGAGCAGTCGAGGCCGTGATGTTCGTCTCGAAGAACCGAAGCGTGTTTTCTTCCCAGATTTGCGCACGCGTGTCGGCCGAGGTACGCCACGAAGACGTGTTGGTACTGTTGGGGAAGACGCCTGGAGTACGTGCCAGTTGACCTATTGCCCTGAGAGCGGCAGGCACAAGGGCCGTGTTCACGTCGAATGGGATCCGTCCTCCGCCGAGGCCGTACGTCGAGTCTCGCCATTGTCCCACAATTTCGTTGGGCTTGAGATGAATGAGGTTGGCCGCTGTCTGATTCTGGGCGAACGCTGCTGTGGTGTTCATGATCTTCTGAGCATTAATGAGCGCGAGAGCCTGGTACGTCAGATTGCGATTCTGCACGTCGATCGAGCCGGCACTGCGGTTGAGAAGGGGCCCGACACGAGAAGGACTGCTGTTGAAGTATTGCGCCATCAGCACGGGGAGATAGTAGTCGGTGTCGATCATGGGATAGGTGAAGCCAGGTGCCGTGCTGGTGACGTTGTTCTGCAGGTTGAGGTACGTCGCGTAATCTCCAATCGTCTCCTCGTGGCATACAGACCCGTCGCTCCGATTGAGCCGCTCAAGGACAGCTCCGATGACAGCTTCAGTGGCCGACCCATTGCCTTGACTGAGCACCGGTTCCAGTAACAGGGCGCTGATCATGCTGTCCCGTCCAAAGTACGTAAGGAACCTCCATGCTCCAGCGAGCAGCTTCTCGGTGTAGGACAGGAAAGAAAGAGAGGTGGTTTGGTCGGGTTGCTGGTCGATCAGATCCTGCGAGGCGGTATTCAGTACCTGGCTTGGTGGCAGCTGAGTCAACTGCGGGTAGTTGAAGCTGGCGGAAAAGGCGTAAAACCCGGCACCGAAACTTATCGTCCTGTTCTGCTGATTGATTGTAATGTTGGATCTTGCGTTCTGATAGGGCACTAAAGTGAAGGTTGTGGTGGTGACATTGTCAAGCCCTACGTCTCTGTCAGTGTCTGGGCATAGGAGGCCGACGTAGCAGACGTCTGGCAATTCACGGAAGAGTGCCTGTTTATGGAGACTCACAAAGCCGTGAAATGGTCGCCCCGGTTCCGTTTGATCTTGTAATATTTACAGCATCCTGAATAACTGGTCGAAGGAGACTCGGTCCTTCTGTGAAATCCCGTATGGTTCTTATACTTCCTAGAATCGGAATGGTCAATGTAGCAGAGCTGTTGAATGCGAGCACGCCTTGGACTCCAACGAATGGGTTGTCCGAATTTCGGGTCGTCCTATATACCGGTCCCAACGGGGTCCCAAGGGTTGAATTGACAAGCTCAATGGCGAGAGATCCGTTAGGTCCATTTTGGGGCTGGAAGAAGGTACAGATGCCACTGGCACCAGCAGGCCAAGCAACAATGAATCGAGGGCCGATGATGCTCAAATTCGAGTCTGGCAATGGACTAGTGACGACGACTTGAGTGTCACTGTTGCAATCGGAGTAGAAGTAATTGTCATACGGTGGCTCGGTCAGATGCTGGGTTACAGCAGGGCAGGACTGGGAGTTCTGAGCCCAGCACTGCTGAAGCCACAGAGCGAGAAGCAGGACAAGAGAAGCCAGCATGATGAGGGTGGTTCGATAAGAGGTTCCCTTTTCTTGCTGGGTGGGAATGGTTGACATACGAGAAGGGAAGCAATACTTGCCGGTACAGCGGTAAGAGCAAGACTCTTAAGGGAAGCCATTGCAACCACGAGTGGGCTCCGGGCTCTCCGCGAAGAGGCACATTCCAAGACTTGAAGCTGTCCTCGAGCTCGAAATTTGGGCTGACGATCAGCAATGACATCAACGGAGAAACGACCGAAAATGCGGAGGCGTCGATCAAGCACCTATCATGGCATGGCCAAGCGAGAGATTCAGGGTAACAGCCGAAAGTTTGTCATACTGTTAAATCGTCGCATGCGCCAGCTTGTGGGGGTCGTGATTGCGAGCCTATTCGAGCAGTCGGGCACCCTCTTCGTACTGTGTAGGCGTCGACACGAGCGAGAAGAGGAGCAAAGAGTCCAGCGGGAGGAAGTGGAGGACGTGGAGGAAGACGAGGAAGAGGAAGCGGAAAAACATTTGCGAAGAGGGGGAGGCCGCGTTCTGCCGCGCCCAATCAGAGCATTGTGCATTTCATGGCTTGAATACTCCACCCAATAACTCTATACGGCGCAGTATTGCACAACGCGCACGCACGCGCCATTTCTTACATCGACCTGGTCGACATATTGACCGCATGGAAACGATATCCTTGTCAATCACATCGGATGAGCGCTTGAAGACTGCTCCACCAGTGATGGAAGGCTCACCACGGCCCATCAAGAGGACGCGTCAGGCCTGTGAGCCTTGCCGGTAAGCTTAGGAGCGCTCTTCGGCGGCCATCTAGCTCATTCACCTCTTCAGCCGCAAAAAGTCACGATGCCCAGCAGAACGCCCGGTGTGCTCTCATTGTGCACGACTAGGTCAACACTGTACCTACGCCTCGGGGCCCGGCCAGAGCACTTCGAGCCCAGCGCACATCGAACTGAGAGCTGCAGCTCCAGTGCAACCTCACCCATCGCTTCCCAAAGCCGTTGACCAGAGCACGGTAGAGCGAAATTCCGCGTCAACGGTCCCCAGCAGGTGTTGACCGTGTGATCTAGGTCGACGGGCTGGCTACGCTCGAAGTACAGATGGCCGAGTTGCGAAGATCCCTGCGGTAGGTTTCCCTTAAAATCATGTGAACTTGGAAAGGCTGACAAGGATGAGAGATCGACCGCCTGATCCGATGCTCCAACAGACGCCGACGACAGCAGATTTTGCCCAAAGATTGACATCGATGTCCACTGACACACCAACGCCCCGTATTGCCGAGTCAGATGGCCGTCTCCAGGATTCAGGCCCAGGTACCGTGTATGCAATTCTGACCTCTCACCTTGTTCAGACTCGGATATTGACTTCTCTCATGTGCAGCCTTCCAGCTTGGGATACCGTGGAGCGGTACAGCCGGCTCTATCTGAGGCACTGCAATTACCAGCCACTTCCTCTATTCTCAGAGAACTTGACCGCCACGCTCCGCTCGCGGGATCCGGAACTGCTATTCGCGATAATGGCCGTTGCATCAAGATTCGAGCCTACCAGTGCTAAGCTACCCGCACCACATGGTTCAGCCTGGATTTGTAAGTCTGAGGAATTCGCTGTGTCTGCCAGGGATTTGATTATGCGACGGGTTGCCTGTGGACCAATTGAGCTGTCCACAATACAAGCGTTGTGCCTGATAAGCATGGCTGAGTTCAATAGTACGTGTATTCCTACATCTCTCGGCGTGTCTCGCTGACGGTCGCAGGTGGGAATACTCCACAGGCAAGCACGTATAGTACACTGGCAATGGATTTGGCGTCATCTTCTGGGCTGTCTTCTGATAGCCGAAGGCTGAAGCCTGACTCAGGCCATGAGGCTCAAGAGCGATTGAGATGCTACTGGAGCATAGTGCTTCTGAAGAACCTTTATGGGAGTCATGCTAGCACTGTCACATTCGTCCACGACGAAAAGACACCCAGCCTTCCGGAAAGCCCGCGCCCCCCAGCTGGTCTCAGCTCTCTCATGACCGACGCGGCTCTTGAGCAGCCAGAAAGCACGAACAGCGCCTCTGGACCGTCTGATCTAGGCATCGTTGCTTATGTTATCCAGTTGAGCGAGATCTGGCAGAAATCCGCCCGGTATGCGCACCGACGAGGAAAGGTAGGCGGCCTGCCACCCTGGTCCGCACAGTCCGACCATGCGCAGATAACGGCAGAGCTTATGGATTCTGAGACCCGCCTGCCTTACAAATATCGGTTCCGTCCGGCTAGATTTGCAGAGCAAGAACCCCGTCAGCTACAGGAACATCATGAATTCTGGGCCTCATGGATTCTTCTGCAAATGCTTTACCACACGGTTCTGTGCCTGCTTAACCATCCGCTCCTCTTGTCCCTACGGCTGAGAAACTTCAGGGTCACGATGGTGCCGGAGGTCTTTTTGCAACACACAGCCGACCTCACCGCAACACACACGGAGTGGATCGTCCACTTACTGGACGTATGCGAGAGAAAAGAATTCGAGTTGTACAATCCCTTCCTTGCACATTCTGCTGCAACAGCCGCAACAATCTACTTGCAGCAAAGCTACTCCGAGAATTCTGCGATCAGGTCGACAAAACAGGAATGCTTCAGGAAGTGTGTTGCGTTTATCAAGCGCTTGGGCTTGTACTGGCCTTACATCGAGCAGCTGGTGAGTCTTGTCTTCGCTGGCTTGCGTCCTTTTTCTCAACTGGCGTTGCTAATGTCGCTGGAAGGCTCTCAAGATCGAGCGATTTGAGCAGGTCGTGTCAGCCTCGTACCGTGAGCCCACATCGCAGCATGTACCCAACGACCGGGTGTACATTGACCTCGATTTGTTCTGGGAGATCATTGAGTCCTCACTTGTCACAGAACTGCCTCAGACCACCAAATCTTACTTCGGCGCGTCTTTAGCATCTCATCGTCAGCCGATCCATTCTGAAGAGGTACTACGGTCACGTCTTCTACCTGAGCCAACACGGATTGGCTCCGACGTCAGCCGCAGGAACGACAATGCTGACCCAGCAGCTGCCATGCAACTACCAACGCTCGCAGCGGGCCCTCCGAACCCCACACCGGATCTGCTACCGCCGAAGAACGGAGAGGCATCGATCCTGGCACAGAACTATTTTGCCCTTGGGGAAGACTTAGTCGGGAATCTGGATGATTGGTGGTTTCCCCGACAGTACGCTTGAGGGGACGACGCAGGATTCCTCGATCAATATCTGCTGTCACGTGCTGGGAAGTGTCAAAATTCCTCAACCCTCCGTTGCTTTAAGAGCTCACGAGCCAGCTGCGCCGGAACCTGTTCTAGGGTCGACAGTATGACCTAAGTGATGGATGTGACGTCTTCATTTGTCGGATACAAGTGGAGCACAATCCTTCCGAAAATTGCCTCCGTTGCCGCCTCCGCTTCCGTGTCACGCCTGACCGTTGGCGGCAGCGGTAATGGTTGACCAGGCCGCCGATTACCGGGACATGGCGTCGTCATATCAATGGAGAGATATCAGCTCATGATGTAGAGGTGGGAACCACTGGGTGCCAGAATTGTTCCTGTTGCATTCCTCAAGAAGCCGGTTTATCAAGACGAAGCAATATCGCCGTTGCAATCTACCACCGTTCTCGATTGACTGCCCAGTCTGTTCTGTAATGTCTAGAATGAGGGAAAGGCTTGAAGACTTCCTCCACAGATATGGCGTGTCACCCAGAAAAGGCTTTCTCCCAGATGGCGAACCTCTGAGACGTCTATGTAATCCTTACTATGAGCCCTGGGAGGACCTGGTAGCGGACCTTCCCCGACACATTTTGGACGAACGAGCCAGATGGAAGATCGATGGGCTCCCTATCCTCGATCCAGCTCGATTGATTTCTCAAGCAGAGTGGCGGAGGGCATACGTGATCCTGGGATTCTTGACTCACGCGTACATTTGGGGAGGAGAGGAACCTTCAGAGGTTCGCCTTGATACGCCATTTTCGCCGTTGACTTTGCTGACCATTGGCGTACAGCGACTTCCACCACAACTCACATGCCCGTTCCTCGCTGTGTCAGAACACCTCGGCCTGCCTCCGACCGCGACGTTTTCAACGCTCAGTCTTTGGAATTTCCGACTCGAATCACCCGACAGGGACCCAACCAAGCCGGAAAACCTCAGATCACTTCTGTCCTTTACCGATACCAGAGATGAAGAATGGTTCTACATGATCTCCACCGCCATCGAGGCCAAAGGCGCTCCTCTCATATCGACGATGCTTCGATGTGTGGAGGCCGTCGATGCCAACAACGACTGTATTGTCCTATCTGGCTTGCGGTCCATAACAAGCGGCGTTCAGGAGATCGGGAAACTCCTCCAACGCATGCATGAACGATGCGATCCACAGGTGTTCTACCACAATGTGCGTCCATTCTGCGCAGGTACCAAAGGCATGGCAGCGGCTGGCTTGCCTCGAGGAGTTTTTTATGACGAAGGCAAAGGCCAGGGCCAGTGGAGACAGTATAGCGGTGGGAGCAACGCGCAAAGCTCCCTGATTCAGCTTTTCGATATCTTTCTCTCCGTTGACCACAATACGCCCGGGCGTCAAGAACATTCGCAGCCCACGTCCGTGCCAGCGCGGGTTCGAGCGAAGGGATATCTGCAGGTCGGTCATGCCATCAAGCGTCCCACGTCCGGCGCCTTCATTTCAGGTCGATTCTAACCCTTTGCAGGAAATGCGGGACTACATGCCTAAGCCACATCGCGAGCTTCTCTCAGCCGTAGAACAGTCGAGCAATGTTCGAGACTATGTGCTGACCAACGCCGCTCCGCACTTAGTCGAGCTTGTCGCAGCATATAACGATGCGGTTGCCGCGCTGGCAAGTCTCCGCAACATCCACATCCAGATCGTGGCTCGTTACATCGTCATGCCGTCCCGGAGCCCTCCTGCTCCATACATCGCCTCTCGAAAGGGGAAGAACCTAGCAACAGCATGTTCGAAGAAGTCGGTGGAAGAAGCAGATGGCAATACGTCCATGACAAGGCAACTCCACGGTACAGGAGGCACGAGTGTGATGCCATTCCTGAAGAAGACTCGCGACGAGACCGCCAGGACTACCATACCAGCAGACTGCACTGCCAGAAGTTGAGCGACGTAGCGACGCCGGTATATTTTTACCCAGAGACATCGGCAGTGTGAACACTCCTTAGCTACATGTTGATTACCTATCCCCAGATCACCAGGAATAGAGCGTCCCCCTTAAATAAGACGACTTACCTACTCCGCGGCATTGATTCTTGCACGGGTGGGTACCTGTTATCAAGCTCCTCGATATCAATTTTCCATGTGCCCTATTTCATCGAACCACTCCCAAGAACAAGTCCATTCAATTCACAGTGGGTATGCAGTTATGTGTGTGTCATGATGCATGCGAAACGCGTTCCAGTTCCATATCATCCGTCTAGCTCCTTGAGGTTCAAGTCAAGCAGACCATCAGCTCTCCTATCTACATCCACACACTCTCCCGAGCACACGTATGCCATGGCATGGTGGGGATGAGAGTTAAAAACCCTCTGCCCTCGCAAGAAGGTACCCGTACTCGTGCCACACGTATACACCCACACCCACAAAGACCATCCATAAGAACGAACTAGGAGGCAGTACTGTACGTCAGTGCCTTCGGTTGTCCGCGGTTAACCTCGATCGCCGTGCAAAAAAAAATACCAAGACCCGGTCCGTTAGTCTCCTCGCGCGTCCCCACTACGGACGGAGGCACGCAGGGTTGTGCAAAGTCACAGTATCCACTGTGTACCAACTTAAGTCTCCAGGAGGACGTGACCACGAAATGGAGAGGCCAAGCAGCTACCTACCTAGGTATGAGGTACTCGGAGCGAGCCAAGTAAAGACGCATGACGGACGAGAGCGTAATATATACAACGTCACGCAATCCAACGCAGGCACAAAGAAACTGGAAGCCGGGGGCCGGGACCCATGACCAACATACATACCTACGAACCTCATTTATGTATCCACACGGACGCAGAGCGGACACGGCACGGAGGAGGAGGAGGAGGAGGAGGCGGAAGAACTCGACAGTTTCCGAGTCCGGGCGAGAAAGTATACGGGACCCATGGATGATATACATATGTATCGTACATATATACATACGTGCCTAGTTTGGTTCAGTTCTGTCCGTGGAGAGATACAAGTGTAATCAGATAAACTGACTTGTATTGAATTGAACCGAGTTGTGTTGTGGTTGGATTGTAATTACTCCGTACGGTACATCCATCTCACGCATCGCATACTCGTCCATCTCTCTTGGTATTGACCTAACTACGAAGCGGGCGTACTGAACCGAACCAAACAGAAGCCTTAAGACCTCATTGAAACCAGCAGATCGAACACGCAGTCATTCAGCCAGCCAGCCAGCCGCAAGCCAGCATCGGCGTCGTGTCGCTGTCTTTCGATCCCTCCTCTCGAAGCATTCGCGTTGGCACCCAAGGCGGGAGGATATAATGGCGCCAGGCATCATCAGCGTCGACACCATCCCCGACACTCCATCGGGATGTGCAAATGACGGGGCCATTCTCAGTGCGAAGACGACCCAGAGTCCACCATCACTGCATTTGAAGGAGATATACCCCGCCACGAGCAACGGCAACAGCCATAGCAACGGCGCTATCGACACCGGCAGCGAAGACCACGCCCGTTCCCTCGACGCAGCAGACCCGCTACGCGATTTCCGCGCCAAATTCATCATCCCGACGCGGGCGTCGTTGAAGGGGCGGGCCTTCCCCCTTCCTGACCCCTTGTCGTCCCTCGAACACACCACAACTTCCTCCCACGGCCAGAGCAGCACCGACCAAGCCATCTACTTCTGCGGCAACTCGCTAGGCGTGCAGCCGAGGCGTACGGCTCAATACATCCAAGCCCAGCTCGACACGTGGGCGGCCCTCGGCGTGGGCGGACACTTTACCGAAGTCGCGCACTCGCCACTGAGCCCCTGGCAGGCCATGGCCGACGTGGCGGCCGAGCAGTCATGTCGGCTTGTGGGCGCGCTGCCGGGAGAAGTGGCCGTCGCAAACACCCTCACTGTGAATCTGCATTTGCTGATGGCGTCGTTCTACCGGCCCACGGCACGGCGCAACAAGATCCTGTTGGAGTGGAAGGCCTTTCCGAGCGATCATGTAAGTGCGCAGATGATGAGTCTTTTCTTTGTCCCTCGCGGGGTTTGCATTGCGTGTTTTGAGATCCCAGTGCGTGTTGGCTGCTTGTGTTGCACTGGTGTGGTGCTATTGTTATGAAGGGACGTCTTAAAGCCTCTTGATCACCAAACAGGACACATACCGTGGATGAGTGGCTGCTAACATAAAATGCTTCTTCGATAACAGTATGCGATCGAATCCCAAATCTTGTGGCACGGCTATGACCCGAAAGACGCCATGATTCTGGTCGAGCCGGATCAAGACCATATCATTTCGACCGAGAAGTTGATCTCCATTATTGACACGCATGCCGAGGAGATTGCCCTGATTCTGCTCCCCGGCGTGCAGTATTACAGCGGGCAGTTCCTCGACGTGGCGCGCATCACGGCGCATGCCCACTCCCGGGGCCTAGTCATCGGCTGGGATTTGGCGCATGCGGCGGGGAATGTGCCTCTCCAGCTGCATGATTGGAACGTCGACTTCGCCGCTTGGTGCACATACAAATACATGAACGCCGGGCCCGGGTCGATTGCCGGGCTGTTCGTGCACGAGAGGCATGGGAAGGTCGAGTACGCGAATGGCTCGGGTGAGCCCGTGTTTCGCCATCGCCTGACCGGGTGGTATGGAGGGGACAGAGCGTCCCGGTTTCAAATGGACAACAGTAAGTTGGTCTGTGGTCCGGTCTCTGGATCTGAAGATGCTGATATTGGTCGTGTTCTCCAGAGTTTCGACCCATCCCGGGAGCTGGAGGCTTCCAGGTCTCCAATCCATCGGCGATTGATCTGACGGCCTTGTGCGCTTCGTTGTCGGTCTTCGGGGAGACCTCGATTCAAGAGCTGCGGCAGAAGTCATTGAAGTTGACCGCTTACCTGCAACATCTGCTGTTGAAGGATACCTCGACCAGTGACCGAGATCGGCCTTTCCGTATCCTCACCCCGCTTGACCCTTCTCAGCGAGGAGCTCAACTCAGCTTGCTGCTCAAGCCGGGCTTACTGGAGAGAGTGGCCGCCAAGTTGGAGGACGCAGGGATCGTGGTGGACCAGAGAAAGCCGGACGTCATTCGCGTTGCGCCTGTGCCGCTGTACAATTCGTACCATGATGTGTGGGCGTTTGCGCGAGTGTTCAAGGAGGCTGTGGGAGTAGAATGTAGATAGTGTAGATGTTTAGGGGAGAGGACGTGACTCGCTTGATGGAGCTGTATCATTCAGCCTTAGACCTCCTGAGGATTCCCGGTTGATATGTTCGACCTGCACGACTTCACCCAAGAATCCAGCTCCAAAGTGTCGCTTCGATGTCGAGACCTGGAAGGGGTCCCTTCCCTGGCTCTGGAGGTGACAACGGTCAGCAGAGGATCCATACAATGGACGAAGTGAGGGCCTGCATCAATGAAGATGTTAGGGTCCGAGCAACACACTCTCTAACCTACGCGTCCACGGCTTCCCACTCGATACCCAGGGACTCAAGCTGTTCTGCTCCTTCCTTTGCCCGTACGACCAACAGACCAAAGTCAGATCCGTTAGCGGCACCGTGATGACCCCTTGTATCAGCATTAGCAACAAGACGTAGCATCTAACGGAGACTGGCTCGACACAATCTTCCAGGGAGAACTCAACAGGATATTCAGAATCGATCCGAGATCAACCAATGCTTTTGTGACTTGCCCCGTCTCGTCATCACGTTGAGCGTGAGGAAGCTCATGCTGAAGATCGTCTGTCCCATCGTTGGACTTGATTCCAGCAATTCGAGCAAGTTCCTGGCAGTCAAGCACTTACGCACAAAAACGTCGCAGGTAGGAAAGCGAGGGTGACCACAGCGATCGTCTCCGTCGAGGTACCATCCCTCCTTACTGCACTGCTGGTAGAGGACATGTGGCTGCTGATCAGGAGCGTCTCCCGAGTATCTCGCTGCACCACGACGGTTAACCCCTGCCTAAGTGTCAGAAGTTGTTTTCGTAGTGTCTGCTGTCCTTTAGACGTTGTGCACGGCGTCTCAGGTTCTGCAACAGCCCACGCCAGAAGATCGTTGGGTTATGGGGACCATCGGGTTTGACTGGGGTCCCCGTTGCACTGGAGCACTCACCATCGTCGTGCGATGATGTTCCAACAATGTGGCAACCGTATCGACAGAACAGCGACTATCTCGCACGCGGGGATGCTATGACAACGCGAGGTCGTGCAGTTGTCGAAATCCAGTGCCGTGTCAACATGATTGGGCGCCCCATTGTCTCTTGCCATAGTGGGTTCCTGAGCCGCAGGGTCCATATCGATACATCGTCCAGTTTGACCACCTCTTCAATGATCAAGCATTGGAGTGCCGCCATGGGATCTGTGGGAGGCTTCTTTTCCACAGTGGCATTCAGTGCTCACCGGATATTCTTTTGAAATGTTGAGGGTGTCTCAAAACAAACTGTTACTGTCCCGCCATCGGGGTGAATGCACATATGTGGAAGCCCCTCTCATACCAGTGATGATCTTATTCGTTTCGAGACATATTGACAATCTGCTTGATGAAGAATTGAAACCATGATGCTGTTGACGGACGTATTAGAAGCCGGTCTGTTTTACAGACACAGGTTGTGGATACCTACAGTCCAACGCTGCCTCGTTGTCATCTTGACGCTGTCGGGGGTTGACTGCGTAGGCGTTGGCCTGGCGGCAGGTTTGAGTCCACAGCATGGACGGATACGCCCACTTGCCACACAAAAGGTCTCTAGAGCTCGAGTGCCTGTCGAAGACCATCCATTCTGCAAAGTTGACGAGTATTAGTGTTGCCATATAGCTCGTCATCAGGCGGAACAGGCCTTACACAGCTTGGACGCCTTGCTGCGGTGGGTTTTGTGATCGATGAGCTACTCCGGTCATTAATCCTCATACTCTGGACGACTGACGCAAAGGAATTCCCTGGCTTGGACCGAAAGTGTTCATACTCGCCGCCGACCGGGTTCGTTAACATCCTCGCATCACTTTGACGCAGGAGCGCTCAGACATTGTCAGATTACCTCGAAGGACGCCATATCGGATCTCCGCGAAGGACGCTATTGTCGGATCACCTCGAAGGACGTCATTGCCGATCGAGGTCCGAGTCACCAGATATGGACGCTCCCTGTGGACTTTCAGGAAAAAGTATATTGGGAGATGAAAAAGGCTGAGCGGTCGTGCTGAAGATGTATCTCGAGGCGGCTCAGATGCACGGGGAAGAAAATAGCGAGTAGCCTACATCTGCTCCTCCTGCCAACGGTGAGGCTGGAGCTGACTTGCATTGGGCTGGTGTCGATACTGTACCAAGCGGATACTGAAGCTCGCGCCGTGTTGAACGGCCACTCAGCCTCAGCAAGCCGGACACCTCGTCTCGGACCAGGAAAAGGCCGTGAAGTAGTGTCGTGTTGCACGGTCCGCAGAGCAGCAATGTTCCTCAGAAATGAACGATGCCGGACCGTGGTGAATCAGATGGATGAGCCAGTCTTGCAGCATCCATCGACAGCGACATCTCCGTTTGCGGTGGCAGTGTTCCGCCGTACCAGCTTCCATCTCGTCGACCCGCGAAGCTTCAACGGCCAGCCAAATTCCGGGTTGGGGTCTTCCTTTCAGGTATGGTATCGCCTGATGCGCACCTCCTCGCTACAAGGAGAAAGGACTCCTATGTGACAGAGCGCCCTCGAGCATCCGGACCGTGCTTTTCACACGCGCTCGGCCTGGACCCAAGGAAGCCCAAACTGCTCTCCGCCGTTCTGTCGGGTCTCCTTTCCATCTGCCATACAACGGAATCTAGTCAACTGTGACGAGCGAGGTGACAGAGAAAGGCAGCTCTAGCACGAAATTCCACTAGCGAAGGTCGTGCGAGCATCATAAATTACCTGCAACCTGAATAGCATGGATACCGAAAGGATGACTTCCCGCGGCGAGATTGTCCCAGGATTTAATGCCTGCGCTTCGTGACCGGAGTCGGTACCACAGTACAGTACCAGATGCCATGCTGGTGTCCTGACGCACAGATCGTTCTGAAAGGTAAAAGCAGAAGAGCATAGAAATTGCTGCGGTGTGAAACGAGCGTCCTCGGAGGCGTTGTTGGTTAGTCAAGAAACATGAATGTGAGCTTGATCAAAGAAACAAAACACGTCTGGCAGCTGGGGTTGCCTTCTCGGGAATGCGTGACATGCTACTTGCATTCGTCCCTACGTCTTGTCACTATGGAAGCGAGTATTAGTGGAGGACGGCATCAATGGGAAACTCGCCAAGCGTACATATTCAAAGCCTGACACCCTTTAAATGTAGAGTGAAACTGCATCGTCTGCACCGGTGTCTGCCTCACCCTGCCCGAGCAGGGACGATCATCGCTTCTCCTCTGGGGAAGGACTTGCTGGTGGAATGACCATGATGTTCGGAGAGCAGACGGGCAGGCTCGTGGTCGATCGCGCCACATGCATGCCCACTCTATCTCACGGAGCAGCAACATGAGAGCTGCGTCCCGCAGCTGCAAGATCTCAACATACAAGATAATCAGTCGTCAAAGGAAACATATTCATTTTGTATGCCTATCCACACGCAATAGAACACTCGGGAGCGCTGTTCGCTCTCGTCACAACCTGCCAGTACTAGATCTTTCCCAAGACAAGAAACCCAGGACCCTCCACTCCAGATGCGCTCGCGCTTCTTTTGTTCTCAGACAATTCCTGGCTGGAAGCCGCCTCATTTTTGTATTGTTTGTATTCTCGTCAAGGGAGGCTGATTCGCACACAAGAGGCTTGACAAACACAGGGATCGAAGGACATCATCCATCGCATATTAGACTATTCTAAGTTGACTGCAAGACAAACGCCGCTCGACCCAATGCTTTAGATGAAGAAGATAGCGGCGAGCAGGGCACCGAGACCAGCGAGGGGTGTGGCAGGGCCGAAGGTCACGGCGGCGTTGTCGTTTGAGGAGTCGCCTGAGCTGGTACCGGTCGAGGCAGTACCGCCACCAGTGGCAGTTGGGTTGGTCTCTGGGTTGGCCTTGCTGGTCAAGCAGGTGTTGACACCCTTGATGACGCCGTTGTCGTGGGCCGAGTCGAACAAGTCGCAGATGGTGGTGTTGGTGGAGGTAGTCTGCACATTGGACCCACCTCGGACGTCTGTAAGCTTGTTCATGACCACGCTAAAGGCCGAATCAGTATCACACACATGGCCATATCAGAGCTTTCGCGTCTTACCTATTGAAAGTGCCTGCGAAGTCGAGTGCGCCGACGATGGTTGTCAATTTTGGAAGCCCATCAATCGACTTAAGATTGGTGTTGTTTGCAACCAAGAAACCACCCCCGATGGTGGTGAGGGCTGGGAACGCGAAGCTGGTCAAGCTGGGACTGTCGACGAAAGCCAAAGTACCGCCAGTAGTTGTCAGGTTTGGCGCAGAGAAAGTCTTGAAAGTGTCGGAATAGAATCCCATGGAGCCTCCGACAGTAGCAAGAGAAGGCATGTCAATTTTGCTGACGTTTCGGAAAGTCAGGTTGGCGGCATTCTCGAGGTTGGGAAAGCTGATGGCTAAGTCACGGCCGTTGGCGGAGAAAGAAAGGGCTTGGGTGACGTTCTTCAGGTCGTTGACATTGACATCAGTCAGGTAAGGGTTGTTGTTGATGTTGAGTGTCGCCACTGCCGACAACTCGATACCATTAATGTTGTTCAATTGGGTGTTCGAGATGTAAACTGAGTTTGCTCTCTGGATGCCCTGAGCCATATTAAGGCTCTGTAGGGCAGGAAGGCCGACCCATTCAATGGTGTTCACCCCGGTGAGAGAACTGAATTGGAGGTTGGAGAGAATCGTGAGGTCTTCCAAGTGCCATGTACCCTGGATGGTGTTGATCTGGTCGGAGGTGATAGAGGTCAACAGCGTAGCATTGACGCAGGTGAAGTCACCCGTGATCTGTTGCACACCATTAATGGCGATGATGCCTTGGGCTTCTGGATCAATGATGACGTCTCCGTCGTATGTCTCGCAACCGGCAATCTGATCGGCGTCTGCGCTCGTTACGATGGTGATCGAAGGACCATCGCAGATGTCTCTGGTTTGAGCTGGGACCGTGTTAGCTTCTGCGTTGATTCGTGCCTATGTGTCGCCAGCTCTTGAACAGGGCTGATGATTGCTGTTGCTCGCTGAGACCGGACGTACCAAAGACAGAGCTC